TATCGTGTTATTTTATAAAAGAAAACAAGATTACGAAATGTTATATTTAGAATTTCAGTTACATTATAAGACTATTTTAGATTGACATGACAAGGCTATCGGTGTATATATGTAAATCAACCATATGGCACTATATTGATCTATGTATACTGTTCAACAGCACTTCCTTGTGTTCAACACTGTGTAAATCGAATTTGCCACCATTTCAAACACTGAGAAACTCGTAAACTATATCTTTGATATTTTTGAGTACCATGTTCAGCGAGGAAATGTATTTGGTGTTCGTACACGTGTGTTGTCAGTCTAACCAAAGTTTGTGAAAGTGAAGAAAAACGAGAAATATCTTAGATGTCAACTTACAATGGAGCGTGAAACTCGGGTATATACAATCAAACAGGTACTTATAATACACTTATCGGGTACTTGAACTTCAAACTGTTTTAATTTCTCTCTTTTTTTTTCGTTCTGAACGGCCGACATGTTTTTTCTTGTTTATCGACTAACAGATACTTTCTCAAAACACAACGTCTGACTCCAAGGACTCCTATCACTTCCGTTTAAGACTTGTTTGTATCTTTGTTCAGATTTTGTCTTACGGAATCTGAAGTTCTGGATTTCACTTAGAACTATTACACTTCAGAAATTTCTGCTTGTTCCAGCTCCTTTCCACACGCATTGATTTTGTTGGTAATTACAATAATTCATTACTAACCGAACTAATTGTCCCTTGTTAAAACTTTTGTCCGGAGCTTAACTTTGCTTTCATTTTAATCTAGAAAAATGAAACTCGGTGTATACATTGGCCATGCTTAAACATTGTGCAGTGTACACAATTCCGAACACGCATCTTCTTAATTACAGAGTTATTACCATTTGCTAAAGTATCGTGTCCGGAATATAACTTTTCTTTTATTTAAATCTACCCCTTAAATACAGAATTATAGCGGTTTGTTAAGGTTTTGCGTTACATAAAGTTGTTTCGGGGAACATTCATAGGTTTCATGGTACTCTTGTCTTTATTCTGCCAGAAAAAAACGTCCAACGTCATAGAGATTACATGACCAAGAGATGTAGTCAAGATGGACCAGTGGCATGTCGCTATGAACGGTTTTTACTTTCGTTAAACATACTCTTCCAACGTCACAGAGATTTACGTGAATTGTTAGCGTGCTGGGATGTCCGTTAGATGACATTGACCCACTTTTAAAGTGCACAAAGGTTAAATTTATCGAAATTTTCTAACAATATTGATGTTTAAAGTTGTAAAACCCTTACGTGTGAATGCACGATCAGTGTTAAAAAGGGTCGACGGAATACCAGGATACTAGGGATAATCTGGTGTACTCAACTGTGTTACCTCCCTTGACACCTGTCCACATATAACCCTGGCTATTTATTGCGAAAAAAAAAAAAAAAAAAAAAACAGAAAAAAGTATTTCTTTACCGTTTTGTTATTACTTTACATTCTGAACACATTCTTTTTGTTTTCTTGTATACATTTAGACATCGTCATTTTCTGTTAAACTATGTAATTTACATGTTGTCCAAATTCAAGGACACTGGTCGCAATATCTTTCCCAGGTGACTTCCATAGATATATGTGATATATGCATGTAGTATGGTTTTCATGTTATGATAAATGCCACAGCTTTACCGACAAACACAATATTGCGAAGTAGAATATGGTAGAATTGGCCTGCAAACTCTGATGCATTAAGAACCACTGTATGTGCCATAATAAGACAGTCTAATATTGTTGTCTTATGTTGATTATAAGTTGATTTTTAACTTTCTGAATCAGTCACTGGTAGCCCACAATGCTGACGTCATAATGGTTACGCCCTGGATGGTATATACTGTATTATGAAGTTAACAGACAAAAGGAAACAGTAGTCCTTCCCTATTGACTATGGTCTTCAGTTAGATTTAGTACAATGCTTTGTATGCCTACTACTCATCGACCAATTCGTTCAATACATCATCCATTTCTTGTAGTGACAAGAGGTCAACTGAACTCGATGTGTTTACAAGACGGTATAAACATCTAAAACAAGGAAGAGAAACATGCATTGGTAATAAATGAAGAGTACATATAAGTAAATTACAAAAAAAATATTGCAAGGAGAATACCTTACTTTTATTCCAAAATTATTTGTTGTAGGTGACTTTTGCAGAAGGAGAAAAGTTATGCATTGTCCACGAGTTGGAGGATGAGGACAGGAAAGGACACTGGGAAGAAGTAGGCCGTGATCGGGATCGATTTAAACGACGAATCGATAAAGTGGAGAATATATTGAGGCCTGTGTTATCGCCAGAAAGAAGAAACATAATTTATCAAAGTATTTCACAACGAATCCAACGGGAGACCGATTCACATAATATTTAATGTTAGTCATTAAAACGCGAAGGGTCCTGCTGTTGGAGAAAACCGGAGTATCCCGAGAAACCCACGTGGTCGGACAATGGATCTTTTGGTATTCGTTCATGGAATCGAACCCAAATAGGTGGCTTTGTGACTTCAGTCTACACAGGCGCCCTTCAATGCCAGTGCCCCGCACGCTAAACTTTTGATAGCCAAAAGAATGATGATAACACAGCTTAAAGTATGATTTTTGTATCATATTTAGAATACTGACAGTCGATTCTTTTACGACCTCTGTTTTCTTCTGTAGATTAAACATTGATTGTAAGCCCAACGCGATATCAAGTAGGAAATCCCAATGGCAAGATGCTCGTTCATATAAAGTTACTGGCGGGAAAAATTCAATAAATGTCAAAGGTAATCAATTATATTTATGTATGGTTCTTCGCGAGGAGTTTATACCACTACTAACACCTATATATGTATATTAGTACAGGAACCAAATATGGCGTGGAAATACATTTCTGAATCGATGCCACTACCTGTTCACACCATTAGAGCCACAGAATCTACAGGTTCAGTGAGCTATGAACTAATCTCCCATGTGATTCAACAAGTTCTCTCGGAGTTTCTCGAAACTCTAGGGGTTATGATCGCTTTCGCTCTCTGCACCCCAGGAACATTCCATTGCAAAATGGAAGGTTCCCTGCGTGACATGTTATGGATGAGACAAGAAGACTACTACATCAAACGAATCTCAAGGTCGTAAAACGATATATTGCGTTGATTTCCAAATTTCTGAAACTGCCATGCTAAATAAAAAACCGAACAAGTTGACGATGACATTTGTTGAAAATGCTTATTGCGGTTTTTAGTTACTTTTTAAAATACATAAATATTTATCATTAATTCGCGCTACTCGAGTCAATTCAAGATTTGTAATTCCGTAAATTAACTTTTTATTTTGAAAAAAAAATGAGTAAGATTTTAATGATATCGACTTGAAATGGCAACAAATTTTGAAATAAGTTAAAATTGTGCTTATTATGTCGTCAGTCTGACGCCCCTTAAAACAACTCGTCTCAATGACACTGCAGCCCAAGTTACAGAGAATGGACCTGAACTATGTTGGGATGATGTACTACTAGGTTTGCTCAAATGAATTACGTTTATGTACATTCAATATCAGTGCTATTAAATATCTTAAAACCTCGTAACAAATTACTTTCAATAACTAAGAGACCAATATTGGTCTGAAACATCCTAGAAGATACCAGTTTTGTTCAAACGATTGTCCTCCACCCAATCTCAAAGTCACATAATTCAAATGCGTTAGACTTTTAAGCAACCTTTTTTTAATAACAAAGGGAAGAAAAGTACTGATATAAGGCCTGTGACTTGTTGGGATGAAGGACTACCAATTTTGACTTCGAATGACCTTGACCAAAAAACGCATTGAAGCGTATTATCCCGGTCCGAATCATTCTGAACTTCAGCCGATTTTTTTTTTTATATATATATTGACCGTTATAAAAAAAAAGTCGATAGAATTCGGACTAGTATGATACTTCTTTCTTTGGAAAAAATCTCGCAATGTTTGGAAAATGTGATGTTGACATGTTTTCAGAAACAATTGTTAAGATGAATTTGACGTTGACCACTTCGTGATCTGAATGGCAATTGGTTTACTAGTATATACGGATGTTTATCTCCCTTACCTGGACCAGATCTACCTTGTCCGCTCAAAAGCCGCATTAGATGTAAAATCTGTTAAATAAAACGATTTACTACACAGTCCACGAAATACCTATCACTATCAATGTTTGCCTCTGCTTGTGTCCATTTTGTTCACGTCTACAGGTATATCGTACCATTGCATATGCGTGTCTTTTAAACTTTTTAACACCCACCAACCTGACTAACATCTTTATTCCTGGAACTATCATACTACACATATTTATATCTGAACCTAAAGATTACGACGTGCTATATTTAAAGGTACTTTCAGTTCCTTGTGCATCAATGTTGTGAATTCCGTTAGGCCCAGTGTTATTGAAAGCAGAGCACTTCAGCAATCAGAATGGTTATACATTGAACCACACTATCTAAAATCAGGGAACATATAGATTCTTAGATGACAGATGATGTTTTTGTGGATTTTCAGAATTATAGCAAATTATATATATATATATATACTAGGGTAAAATCTAGTTTCATTTCGGCTCTGGATATGTACTATGCCCAACTATTTTTTCTTTTTTTTTCAGCATTAATTAACCACACCCATAGTTTTCATGCCAAAGCAGTTTTGTTAATTACACCGGGTGTATTAATCTGATCTTGATTGAACACACACTAATAAATTATCATACCTCAGACAATTGATTTTCAAGATTGTGTGTCAAAATCAAGGTCACCATTCATATTTTCTAAAAATCATTTAAGTGTCATGTAGCGGTGTTATTTATGAGGATTTTGATCTTCCTTGCACACTTACAAATGGCTAAAGAAATCTGAAATGAATCTGTGCCATCCTACCCAAAGAAACAGATCCACATTTTTACATATGCTATCACCAACAAAAACAGGTACAATAGTTGAAGTTTAAATCTTTTATTTATTTTAAAATATTGTATTGATTGAGTACCAGTACACAGCATTTGAATGAAATCTTACTAGTAACAATTTCAAAAATGATTTAAAATCACAGGTTATTATCAACCCCAGGAAATTAGGATTTCATATATGCAAGACATAAAACACACTGGTAACTAAATAAGAAAGGGGATTTATTGGATAGAGTTCAGCATGAATTTAAGTTTCAATCCCAAAGGTAATTACATGTTCCATATAGACCAAGAAGATAACCTGTAGTTCCTTTGTGTCTGTATATTTCAGTAACTGAAATGCTTCTGACATGATATCTTGGTGTCATGTAATTGTTATATAACTTATTAAGTATATTCAGCTTTTGATTGGTTAGAATAAATGCTACTTTAGAATCTATAATGGTGTAGTTAAAAATAAAATTAAGAGATTTTCATCCCCTTTGTTAATAGGTAAAACATTTCCAAGACTTTCCTGACAACCTGCAAAATTAAACTATTTCCTGTTAAAACAGAAACAGGCTCTTAATCTCTCAAGATTCACAAGATCTAACCACTTATGACCACCACACCTTCATTTTCCTTTATCTTCAGCTTTTCACCATTACATCAAGTTGTCTCAATGACCCTGAATTCGCTTGTTCTTAGGACGTAAATAACTTATTTTAATTATCTTTCTTTTCTTTAAATCAGAATTGAGTCTTGGTCATTATCAATCCCAAATAATACTACAGGGAATTCTTATAGAATACTAATGCTATCATCACAGAATGTTTTAACTAAACATCTTTGCTGTTGTCAGGAGGTTCATATTGGAATCAAAGAGATACTTGATGCAGTATTTGTATGGAAACAAGGCGGACTATTTCATATCTTCAATCTGCGTAACTTCCTTGACATTAATTTCAATTTCCACTGTTTTGAAGCAAAAAATAAATAAACTGTTTTTCAAGAAGGAATTTAACAATCTGATAAGCTTTTATAAAATAAATCATTGTAAGTGGGATATTCAAACAAAATAAATAAAATCAGAAAGGAAACAAGTTCTTCAACGCAGGTGTCCCAAAATGATGTACTGGTATCAATCACAGTATTAAAAATAAACTTAATATCTAATGATCATTCACAAGATGGTATCCCTCCAATTCTGTTTTAAAATATCTATCATAAATAATATCTCTCCTCTCTGTCGATAATACAGGCTTTAATATTTCCTCTACTTCAGCAATCCGTCGTTGAAATCGTTCCCGATCACGAACAAATTCCTCCCAGTGTCCTTTCCTATCCTCGTCCTCCACATCATACACTGTACATAACTTGTCTCCTTCCGCAAAGGTTACCTGCAAAAAGTCCAGAATCAATAAACAAATTGTCTTTTTTTAATGAATGTAATATTATGAAACATTCTTTTCTTGATTTTCTTTTTCTGCAAAGGTAAGTAAAGAGTTTACAACCAGTATTGGTCATTAAATATATATATTACAGATTTCTTTATCAAAACCAGCAGACTTTTTCTTATCTTCAAATCTCAAAAAAGTTCACTTTTGTTTGTGAATAGACACATCCATCCAAAATAAAGCAGGAAAGATAATATCAAAATACGTTTATGAGTTTGCTGAGAGTTTGTATTATTTATGAACTTTTTACCTTTGTTTTAGATTTTTCCTGATGACTAATGGAAAAGTTCATGTTCCATTTAATGTTGACATCAAGTATTTCTTGTTCTCTTTCTTCACTTTCAAAACTTTTGGTAGGACTAGGTTCCTGACAGGGAGCATTAGTGCAAGTTTTATTTACTGGACAAATCACATTAAGTTGTAATGGACAAGTAAAAAAGTCAAGTTCATGATCTTCATCTTCACCATCACTATCAGAAAAATCATCACCACTGCTTTCTGAAAAACTATCAGATTCACTATCAAATGACACAAGAAAGGAATGTTGCTTCATTGAACTGGAAGGCGAGTTGTTTGAATCAATACCGAGTACAAAAGCAACAGTATTGGTAGGCCCCAGTTTTGTAGTTGCACTTGCTGTCTGAGAACTGTCTTTACAATTTTTTTCCTGGAAATGAGTTTTTTGGGAACCAATTCCTATATGATAGCTCTGGATTTCAGTTGGATCTTCTTTTCTAGCCTTTGAACGTCTTCGCTTCTTTGCTGATGGACGACATGATCCTTTTTTATTATTGTTTCTGACCAAGAGTACAAACCTTCTTTCACAGTCTTTATCTAAATGTGATGGTTCACTTTTCTTTTCTGCACAATTTGTACTTTGTTTTGAATCTGTAATTGTCATTTTAACACTATCACATTGATCATCTTTTGTGGCAGGCTGGTTTTCATTTGATTGAATTTCTAAGGAATTTCCACTGTCTTTGTCTTTATTCACTGAATCCTTTTCCTGAATCCTGCATGTTACATGAAACACTGTGTCATCTGGTTGGAAAATATCGCTTAAAACAGATGTTTCTCGTTGTAAAGTTTTGTTGTTGACACCAGACGAGTCAGCAGATGGTTCCGAGTCCAAAGAGAGAGTCCTAACCCTAAAACCAATTCGCTGAGGAATATCTGACCCATCCAACTCCTCTGATTGACCACATTCAAACCAATCCACAATTTGCACTGACGCAGATTTTTGTCCATTGCTGCCTTTGTCATTTTCTTTGTCTGTGGTGGTAGGGACTTCAGACTGATCATGCTTTTCCACTTTAACATGCAAGTCTTCATGTAATTTTTCCTGATTTGGCATTGCACATTTAATGTTTATCACAGGTTTTTGAGTTTCTTTAACATGATCATTGACTTCTTTGGAATGTCTCAAAGTATGACTAGAACTATCACTTTTATGAGAAAGTTCTGATTTACTTTCTATTTTGTCACAATGGACTTGGCAATCATCTCGCCAACTTTTTTCTTGTGACGATTTTCTCCAATTAGTACAATCACTAGGGACTCTATTGGGCAGAAATGAATTTCTTGGACTGCAGTTGGGCCTATGGCCATCATAATGCTGACGTCTTGGAGAAGCTCTATATGAGTATCGCTGTCCAAGGTGATTACCTGTCATTGCTGGGTGGAATCCATTTTTCTGATACTGAAAGTTTTTGAAATCAGGATTATAAAAGTGAGTTGATTTTCTTATATCTGAAAAGGCACAACTATTAGGTCGGGATGATGCTTTCCTATAACAGCTCCAATGTGGAGCAGAGCCCCATTGTGAAGATTTATTGCGTTGATTCATAGTTCTTTTATGTTCTATCTGATTCAACAGAAAATCACTATCCATATTCATTGGCATAACGTTCGATGTACTTCTGCAATCCATGAACCCTTTATTGGTTACTGGTTCCATTCGTCCGTGTAATTTCAATGCTGAGTCAATTAGGGTACCCATGTCCGATATGTATCGGTCAGTCGAACAACTGTCTGATGTAATTTCACCTGTACTATCTAACCGCAAAAACGGTTGAGTTACGTGACCTTTTTCAGGTGCGGGGTGGTTTTTGCCCTTACACCGCCATCTTGTCCCATATGGATTCATAACACAACGCTATTTAGTCATCCATCCTGTTTCAACGGCTTGATATACGTTGATAATAAACATGTTGTACATAGGAAGAATAACAAAGTCATACATAGAAACACTTTCACACATGGTAGATACAAAGTTATGAAAGTTCCACTTGTGTGTATCGTCGAGCGCGGGACTTGTCCTAAAACCTTGTTGAATATACTCACTCAGATCAAGAAATCCGCTATTCAAAACACTCTTACAACTGTATGACTTCGTTGAATATGTGGATGATGTTCCTCTGTTCACTTCCGAATTCATCTTCGTAAAATATAACTTCAGTATTCTCTGGTTACGACAGTAAATATGACATACTTGTTCTTTTACTCATGTTGTGATTAAGGTTCATGTTTATTCTAAAAATAGTATCTTCCCGGAAGTTCGAGAATCTGCGTTATCTCGCACTATATACATACGCGTAACAAATAATCCACCAGTAAAATAACCAGTGTTTCGTCAAATGACCAGTCAGACAAGAATATGGTTTATAACTTCATCATCAATATGATGTTAATATAATTTTAAAAATTCTGCTAATCGTAGACATTTTTTTTTATTATTTTCGCAAAAGGAAAACGCATTAATTTCAACTTGACGTTTTGCTAAGTTTAGATTATATGACCAAGGTTAAGGACGTATGCTTCGCATTGCATCAGATAGAAGGTAGACAACTTGTGTAATTACATAAGGTTTTGCCAAAAGGAAAAATAATTTAACTATCTAGACTGCATGTTTAGTTTAATGTAACTAGATCTTTAATGTTAATAACATGATTTAAAAAAAAATCAAGAATCCTGTGAAAGAAAAACCGGCTTGTAATTCACTGGATGAAGGATTGCATTTCTTTCTTCCATTGATCCATTAATAAAACGGTAAGGCCCAAGTTCTATCTCCAAGTTGCGGATATCTTTAATTAACCATAGTTTAAGTGATCACACAAATTTAACAAATATTATGTCGTCATCCATTGTGAAAATCATTCTTCAGATCTGTTAAATTTAACATTCATTAGAACGGAGGAAGATTGCAACCTGATTAATTTAGTATTCTTTGGCTAATTTTTGTAACGTATACAACTATAATTTCGTCATATCTATGTTGTTATTGTAGGTCATCAAATCTCACACGTAATTGTAATAATAAAGTTGAATTGAAAAACTAACGTACATGATATGGGTCTTAGTCTTGGCAGGCGCTTTTTAAATGTCATTAGTATGAGGCGCGAATCTAAAGTTAGTGAGAAATCCTTAACAAGGCAGTGAAGCGCATCAAATTATCATAAGAAAGTTACACAACGTGTATGATTTGTTGCAAAGGCTTAAATACGACATATTCCGTAGCTCAATTAGAACACGCTAGCATGTACAATATTAATCTTTAGCGGAGATCCGATTCATTGAGATTTTAAGAAAAAGAAAACACATGACATGCTACCAACGACTCTCTTTTCGATGCCGAACGAACATATATGTACGAAAATTAGACGAAACATCGGGTCACAAATTATTGATAGCAAAATTAAGATTTGTACTAAAATGATACACACATTGATATCACAAGTCTGAGATAATTATGAAGTCAGAAATTTATTATATAAAAGGGCAGAATTGCGGTGAATATTTAGGACGCACTTTCGCAGAAATTTCTGACGAAATTCTTTGGCTATCAGTACAGTGCGCACGCAAATGACATCGATGACGGCGGGAAATATTATTAATTCCAAATATGAAATATTTTTAACAAAAAAAAAAAAAAAAAACCCACGCACACACAACTACAAACTGATAGAATACACATGCACAAGGACACGGGACCAGATATGATTTTTGATTAGTAAATTGCCTCTAGGAGGAGGTGAGGATGGCTGGGCTGTAAATTTAAAAGAATACCACTGTTGTTTGGGAGAAAGGATGTGAACATTTTATAGGACGAGTAAGAAATCCGATTTTGATGAACTTCTTTTTCTTATTTTTCAGCACATGCGTATGAATTTTGTCTGCTTGATTGTCTCGTTTTCACTACTCGGAATCAGGGACGTCTAATTGTAATACAGCTTATATAAGTAATTTATTTAAAACGAGATATTTTGAATGTTTAAGAAGCGACGTCACTGTATGAAATTATAACACTTAAGAGAAATTGGTCAATATATTTCGTCGTTTCAAATAAAAAAAAAAGCTAATTATAAAACATAATAGATTAATACTTCTAGATTGCTTGTTAAATGTTTGTGTGTGTGTTCGGTGCAAATAATAATCATAATGAGTAAATAATGGACGCAGGCAAAACAAATGCCTCTATATCCATAACTTTAGGTGTAATAACTGCACCATTCAAGTTTGTTTTGAGTCACAACAACCAAAGAAAGGAATCTTTAAAAATATCAGAAAAATAAGAAATCATAGTCAACTTTCCTCAATAGGAATAAGAAACGACTTAACACAATGTGAAAGAGAAGCAGAGAAGGCATTAGAAAAGGAAGCGAAGCAGAAAGAAAACGATGAAACGGAGGATTATGTATACCGTGTCTGTGGACCGCCTTGGAGTAGAAAAATTGTGCGCCTTTCCAGAATCAATATATACAGAGGAAATTTTAATGTCTTTTCAACTTTTAAATAGTGACATGTTTTTGGTATTTAGTATTTAATTGACTATACATATGTAATAACTGAGAATCTTAGAATTTGTGTAGGAAATATCTCCTGATCATCATATAGATTGAAAATTCCGTCCTAGCAGCCTAAGATTCGTTTTACTATGTCCGTGCTTGTACGGAGTGACGAGATCACGTTCCTATGTTATCGCGAAAAGACCGAATGTTACAAAACAAAAATAAAAGATATGTGTTTGAGCACAAGTCGGCATGATCTTAATTTATGCAAGACAGTCTAAGGGAGATAACTCATATAAGATTTTTAAAAAATTGCACAAATGAATAAATAGTACACGTAACTGAAGACAAAAAGTACAATTCCCCTCGCATCTCCACATTGATTTAAGCGCAATAAAGAAGATGGATGATGGTATTAAGTCTAATAACGTTCATTAAGGAATGAAGTCACGAAACATCTGACATCTGACAGAAACTTTGACTTTCACCCTATTTAGGACACTTGGAATTCGATGTTGTCCAAGATTTAATGATTCTTCGTAAGTGGGTTATGTTTGACAAATTCATCAAAACATGAAGCCGTTAATAGTGCTAACATGGCATTGGGGAAAAATAGTGACCTGGACTCTAGACCTCTGAAATTCGAAATCACCACACATGTAATGGCATTCCAGAAGTGTGTTAAGTTTGATGAAAATCCATAGAAAAATTAAGCTACTACAGCTGACAGGTTTTCCGTAACAAGAGGCCCAATGTGCATTCATCACTCACCTGGTGTTAATATCACAAAAGTATTGAAATGTACACCAACGACATTCAAGTCGGCACATCCAATCAGTTTTAACCAATATTCACAACATAAAGACTCAACTCCATACATAGACATTTATGAACCAAATTATATGAATTATAGGTAAATTTCATTTCCTTTTTCGATTTTTGTTTGGACTTCAGCCTAGAAACACCTTTCCACCAAATATCATGTTTTTCGGAATCCATCTATCGCCGAGATGGACATTAAAGCAATGGTGTCAAAATAACCTCGCGTTCTATCACCCTTGTACAAAGTGTCAATAAACATTAGACATGAATATGACATAGCCCTGGTGACTAAGAGCGAGCATTCTTCGTTCTTGGATTTTCCAGGAAAGTAATTCTTTCCAAATGGGTTGTAAGTCCTTGGAAAAGCCAGGGTAATATGAGGACAGGTGTTAAATGGGATACCCAAAAGTAGTAACACAACATTTAAAAAATTGCAAGACAGAAAAAAAAAAAAAAAAAACAGAAAAGGCTTTTTATTTTTAACAAATCTTTTTTTTGAGAAATTCATTATCTTTCTGATTAGCAGCTTGCAAATGAACAGAATCCCTGGATTTCTGAAACATTGGAAGATTCTCAAACGTTTTTTAAAAACACATTTGACCCTGTAATCTTGAAAATACATCGGTCATAATCTTAAGAACTTTTAGAACACTATACCAGGTAACTTGCATGAATTTCAATGAATAAAATTTGCCATCATCTAAATACTTGATTCCATCAAGATCGAAGCATTTAACATTTTAATAATGCTTACAACAGATAATAACAAAGTTGAGGTATTTCATTAATACTTTATTATCCTTATGTAAAGGTCATACCAATAGGCTGTAACTTGTCAATGGTACCATGCATAAAATGGTCAGCCTGTTTAGTTTTTGGCATGTAAACCACCCTTCCTTTTTAGTTTTGTACAATTCCTCAGAATACTACATAACGTGGAGATGGCAGCTGTTGCCAAAATTCAAACATTTGCACAATGTGTAGGTTAAGCTATGGGTATTCTTGTAATAATCATTATAACATACTTGTAAAGCTTAAAATCATGTGTGATATGGGAAATCATAATGCTAAGGACTCAACAACGTACAGCCTTTTTATCTAATATATCTCCTTCATTCAGGTCCTAGCCTCATAAGGTCACACTTGTGTGACAAAAAGCTCTTCAATAATTTCTCAAGTTGTGCAATAACCTTATTCGTCACAAAATGTCTGCATATAAATATTAAATGTAAAACAGAATCAATGATTGCAGCCTGTTTGCTATTATGTGTGTGGAGGGGAAGAGAAAGTCAAATCTCGAAATACTGGAAATGAATACAAACCTGGAGATATTTATAAAGATTTGTAACTTGGAAAAAATGGACCAAGCTCATGAAGAAACGTGATGAGAAGATTCTATTCCTACAGAAAAACATGATCGCGAAAACTGGTTACACCAGGCAGGACTTATACAAACGAGTGAAATATAGCAGAATCAATTCCAACATTTTTACACATATCTTAAATAAATGTTTTTTCTTTGTATTACACTTTCATAAATTCATCAGTTTACTCAGTCAGACTGAAGTAGATAAAAGATTGTAAATATTGTACATTTCTAACGTCAACCACTTGCAAGAAGAGTATTGTAAACTCACTGTGTCATTTACCTTAAATAGTCTTTTATCATCATTATTATTATTATTTGTTCTTCTTGAACGGTAAATGGTTTTATCAAGGATTAATTTGAAATATTTTCCCTCATATACCAATGCAAAATATACAATGTTTCGTAGAACATCGGAATTAATCTCATTCACCTAAAGTTTACATGATGTAAAGTTAAAAGAGATATTAAAAACAATTGTAGTCCTGTGTGGTACTGGTGTCTGGTTATTTTTTCGACAGGTAACACTTTGATAATGATGGGCAGTTGTTGCAGGAACACACAACCAGTAGTAATGTTGTAAATACATATGCAATCACATTTACAATGCTTGTCTCACTCTGAATGAGTTGTAGGATAAAAACTAATCACAAATAGTTAGGATAATGAGATGTCCACCATGAGTCACATCTGTTTTATAGAAAGGTAATGACATTTCAACAACTGCATTTACACAAGAATCTGTTGTTTTGTGGTTTTGCATACATATGATATACATGTACTATGAACACATACTGTTGAATAGGTTTCAAAACAGGTTTTTTTTTAAAGTTGGTTACATAATTTATCTTAAGATTTCACATTAAGCTTAAAAAAAAAACCCCACTTTTTATTTTTGAAAAATTATGAAAGCAGAAAAACATATCAGCCAACTAAAAATCATCAAAAAAATATGTTGATCCCGATCTCTAAATAATGGTTGTTACTCCATTGATGAGTCACTATCAAGGATGTCTCAGCCTTTCAGAATACAGAAAAAAAATTCTGTGTTTAGATAAATATTAGGCCAATGAATGTTTCACAAAAGTTCCATATAATTTGTATCAGATATGAATAATGAATTGTGATGCCATAAAGATAAACAATGACTGAGGAAATGTTTGAACAACATGGAGAACATTCATGTACACATAGTTTTAAGAAGTATTCATCAGACATGAAAAGGTAAGGACAAAGAAATGCTCTGAACGACACTTAAATCAAACATAAAGCTGTTGCGTAAGTTACCTTCGTTTTGGTACTAGTATTTAGTTATGTTCATCTTGGCCTTTTACCTATTTATGGTATTAAGCATTTTCAATACTATAAGCATTAAGTTCTACTGTAGATTGCTTAGGTCATTGTCAGCCATGTATTTTCCTAAATTCGCATCAATCAAATTCAAGTATCCTAGTTATACATTGTACAAAATTTGCACCCTGAGTGGAGCATGGAAGCATGTACAAAATCTAAGTAATCTACAGTAAATAATTAAACATTATCCTGAATGTGCAAAAACTTACGACATAAAATTTCATCAAGACCCAATAATGGGTTTATATCCATTTAAAAATATCATTACATTTGATTAAAAATGTTATATTAAACAAAGGATATTATTCCTAAAACATAGGAGATTTCCCCTTTTTCAGTTAATGTCTTGTTGTAGCACACAACAGTTCCTATTAAAATATAAACATTTCTTGCCTTAGTAAATATTTGTAACCTGAAATAGGAATTTTTGTCAATCTGAAAAGCCCATCTCATCTAGGAGTATCAATTGACAGTATTAAGAATTTGTTTCTATTCACAAACATTTTGAACATCACAAAATAAATAGATACGTAAGAGTCACTAGTGTTCTGGCTAAGTTATGCCAAAATTTCCTGCCTGCCCATCATAAATCAAGTTGTCAATGGAGTTGAAGATAAGCAATGAGAGTTGATTTTGTAGAAATAAAAAAGAACATCTTTGTCTTCTGTCTGTTTCCGGCGATTAAAGCTACTGTAAACCTGCGAAGATAATAAACTTTAATTTATACACAACATTAAACACTACATACCAGACAGCAATTTCTTTTGTTTTTAACACCAATGACAAAAGAACTCCACATATGTTAACATTAACCAAAGTATTTGTTCAATAAAACTATTTCTTCAACAAAACAATTGATTTTCCTTATGAAACATAAAAAATTAGAACATAGATTTGATAAAAGGAAACATTTCATATGATTACCTTCAGAAATTTTGTGTGGTTCTGTGGGATGTGTGGGAGGTCTGATGGATGTCTGAAAGCCCGGGGGAGGGGTCTGTGTCTGTGTGGGCCAGCCTGTGTCTGCAAAAGTTAACGATATATGCATTCAAATGCAAAGCTATTGAGTGATTTCAACATGTTGAATTCATACCAATATGTGGGAGGTATCTGGAGTAAGTTATGACTTCAAACTGGAATTTACAGAGGTTTCAAAATTTAACAACTGTCCTCACCCGTTATGTGTAGCTTAAAACAATACCTATCCTTTTCCTCTAGGGACAGAAAACCTTAATTAGACAACAAGAAAATCAAATGACTCTATTCAATATTGGTGTCAATATTTTGATTTTGTCACAAAAGAATATTTTAAAAATTGCAATCTTCCTGCAGCTTTCTAAGAGATCCATTCTGGAAACATAATGCTTAGCTCTAGGCTGATAAAACTACACTTCCTGTTTCAATAGCTTACTTCTGATGGGGAACTGTTGCACAAAAGGTAGTCTGTGATTTTGGCTGTTTGTGTGGCTTCCCTCTATGTCTGTAAGCTGGTGAATGGATTTTAACCAGTGTGGCGGACTGTCTGATGATAACACTGAGCCTGTAACATATCAAACACATTAAGAAAACTATGATTTAAGATTTAAATTGACTAATTCTATGAAGCTGCAAATAACTCAATTATTGTTATTGGTGTTAACAAGGGCATCATGGTCACACAATCATTCCTTTGCTACTTTCCAATAAGATACAACATATCTGCAATATTCACATAAAAACCTAGTAAGCAACAATACATATAGAATTCATCCTTTATTGAAGCAGACACAATTAATACACAAACTCACTTTTTTGTTGCTGTTGACTGTGTAAGGAAGTATGTGTAGACATTGGGTTATTTGCTTGCTGTGTTGCACCAAAACTAATGTTGATATTTGGCAATAAAGCTCGTAGACCATCTTGCCAATCTTTAGTGTTGAACACATCTCGCTAAGAAAGATGAAAAAAATAAAAAAAAAGATAAATGTAATATCTATTTATGCAGTGAATTAACCTGAATATGATAATTACAAGAACTTTTTCAAATACTTTGAAGATGAAGGTTTCTTTTAGCTTTGATTTTCTTTTCTCATCAGATAAATAATGAAAATTTCAAATTGAAATTATTTGTATACATACCTGAGCATTGACATGATTTTGTTCTTTTCCATCATCAAACATATTGTGGTATGAATTTGGTGGAGGCATATTTGGCTGTATAAAACCTAGCATTCCGTTGTTACCTACATCTAACCAAAACACATCATAAGCAAATGGAGAAGTTAAGACATTCACAAAAGCAGTTTCTGGAATCAGCAGAAATATGGTCATTCATATGATTATCTCACTAATGAAGTTTACTGAACCACACTCTTTCTAAATTTGTGTTGAATGCAATTTGTACGAGTGTGTCTCTTGTAAAGCTTTAAACAGATTATAGAGTGCAACCATACATATTTTCAATATATCAGGATTAAAACTACACAATGTATGATTTGAGAAGTAAATATTTACTTCACATATAATATAACCTAACCTACCTGGTCTCAGAAATGCTGGATGGTGCATCTGTTGCTGTTGCTGCTGCTGTAGCTGACTTAATGAAAAGCCTGGTGGCAAGCTTTGGGGTTGATGGTTGGAGCGATTATTTTGATCTGAATAATTTGGTCTGTGGGTTTGACTGATACCATTTTCCTTCTCTAGCAAGTCTGCCAAACCTTTAGATGACTCATCCCATGGATCAAAACCTGAATAGGATAAAAATGCTACTGATGAAAATACAATGTATTGAAGTAATTAACTCCTTCAACACTCCATTCAAAATTCACAACTGCTACCGAACCTGTTCTTGCGCTGGCCATTTGGACCTGATGCTTTTCTGAGCAAATACCTGGTAACACCCATTTTAATAAAAGGATGATTAACAAATGTATTGTGTTGATATATCTATGTCATCATATGTAAACGGAAATACAGTGATATTGTTTAGTAGAATGAAGGAAAGTAAGAATGTGCTATCTGCTCACTGTAAGTTATCTCTCATTCCTATCTAATTTGTTCTCATTTTGTTCAACTGTATTCAAATGTGAATATCTATATAAATATGTGTTTATACAGTTTTTGTTTGTTTGATACATTTTCCCAGCCAAAACCCAAAGTCTGCTATTTTGTTGTCAGTGAAAGTATCTCTACAAAATCAAGCTGTATTTCACATTACTAACAAATGATTTTGCTTTCCCCACATGAAGTCAAATACCATGATTCTATATTTGATACTTATTACCAACTAATTTCTACATATGACCATGCAAACAGGCAAATAACATAAATCATGTCATATGTCTATAGGAAAGAAGGCATGTTTATTGTTATGTCTCAGGATGTAATGAAGGATAAAGAAGCATTTTATGTGATTCCCCTTGTATATGTCTTAAGTATGGAAAGAGTTTAAAGACAACAGTATAACATGCCCAATTATTGATTTGAAGGTAGAAGTAGCTTAGAAGTATTTTCTACAGCAAGAATTGCTTAACATAAAAGATCATTAATGACCTTGATAAATGCATCAAGTACAGTGATTCACTATGGGAAAAAGGGATTTTAGGCACATATATTTTTATTTATCTGTAAAATGTGTATATGATTTTTTGACAAACCATTTTGCAGTACAAGGGAAGTAACCCTACCTAAATCATCATCTGGCAAGTCTCTGGTTTTAGGCCCAAATCCAAAAGCAGCCTGCCAATCAGTACAACTTGTGACTTGGATTGACTCTGCAATTTCAGGGGTTGATACTGGCTCTGGAACTTCTGAAATGCATCATAGACATATAAATATTGAAAATAACACTTTCATATTTCTTTCACATAATCTATTAGCATTAATTTCAGTAGCATACCTTTCAGATTAAATTATTTTGTGACCTATAATCAACTGTTAATAGTCAATTTAAGATTACATATAAACTTGATCAAATTTCAATTACACAGACAGGATAAAGATCTGGGATTAATTCCTTTATTTTTCTGATTTTGATAATAACATGATAGTCTGTTTAGGCCTGGTAGAATTACATGATTTACAAACCTGCTGGTGCTGTTGGCACAGGTAATTTTTGGAATCGTTTGCCATGAAAGCCATTGCCATTACTAAACAGTGAAAGACTCTGGGCAGGGTTGTCAAAAAGTATAGGCTTCAGTCCTGGGTTTGCCATCAATCGTGCAGACAATTGTGTACCTAGTGGGGCTTTGCTGTGAGTTGATGTATTTAGCCCTGGGGGTAGGGACACAGGGGACCCTGTTCCCACGGACGGTGTGTTCTGTGGGGTTGACGCTGTTGGTATATCTGACTTTACTGAATTGTCTGTTGGTTTGTCTACTGCATTGAGTATACCACTGAAAAAGTAAAATGGTTAAAATATACACATGAATATCAATTCGGACAATTTCTATAAAAATGGTTTACAATCCTGATATTGACCAAATTTTTATTTTTATTTTAGAATCTAGTTAAGACCTAAAATAAGAAACATTTCACATATATATTTGTAATATATTAAGATAGACTCAACATCTAGAATGGGTTGCATCACAAATAATATGAAATTTTTAAAATCACCAAGAACACGACTTCTACACTGATTTCTAAGATTAATAACGATTATGAAGTTGAATAATCCAACATGGAAAAGGTGTTTGGACTCACTTATTTTCTATGTCTGCATCTGTCTTTGTGCGAGCTTTGTGGTTGCCAGGGGCTCTGTTGTGGTTGGGTAGTGGCTGTGTATCTGATTTCTGTTGGTTGTGGTTTGACCTGTTACCATTGGTGAGACGTTGCTCAGACCTTCCCGTCTGTAGTGATGGCCAAGCATCTTTGTTGGATGTGTTGGGAATTGGCTGTGTGTGTTGTGGGGGTGTGTTATTTGGCGGCGTTTGTTGCTGTTGAATCTGTTCAGCTGTGGAAACCTGTTGTTGTGGTGGTGTCCCTGAAGTCTGATTAACTGGGATAGGTGACGTTGCCTTTTTTCTTCAATAAAAAAAAAAAAAAAATATATATATATTCATATCTAGTGCAACGAAATAACAGTACAAGCTAAAAATAATTTTTTCAAATATAATAATACCAATTAAATAACAACATAAATTTGCCAACAAGAATAAACTGAGGAAGAAAAATTTCAAACTGATCAGATACAACTTAACACTTGCAATTCAAAGTCCACCTCTAGAAATGCTGATGACTTTGAGGCCCCTCCTTATATAGGAGACAAAGGATTCTCCCCAAGGACAGGCAAGTCTGCATCACTTACCTTGTTGGTATAGTTTTATTGCTAGTTCCTGTCACATGATTGTTTGCAGTATTTTGGGAGTTCATAAATGATTCGAGCAGCTTTTGTTCATACTCTTGATGTTTGCTGAAAAGATACAAATAAAAGTTATTGAAACATGGCTCAATGTTGAGTTTTACAAAACTAATTCTTTGCCGATTAAAACCAAAACAAAGTGAAAATCATTTATGAATGCTTCTGTCTGAACTTAAAAACATGAGAGGATATACTTTTGTCTTCCCATTTTCCCTGACATTTGCATGTTATTTTTGCATTTTCACAACTGAGTTTGTCATCAGGATAAATATGTCTTGAAATTGATCTACCGGTATATGCTTTGATGACCTGTTTCTGTTAAGTTTATTGATGTGTTAGTTAGTGATATTAAAAAAAAATACCAGCCTTTTTAAATACTAATATGTTTCATATTGGTAAAACATATGATAGATTGTAAAGATTCCCTTCTCAAAGTTGCATACCATATGAAAATGACTTGAAAACAAATTTTTGAATATTTCAATACTTAATCACATAAATATTCAAATATTAAGTTCTATCAAATTGACATCCCAAGTTTTTAGGCATTATAGGTTAGAAACAACCTTATCCTATTGTATGTTTCCATGAGAAGCAGTCGAATGCTTTAAAATATTATTTGTTTTCTAATTATTGCTTTATAACATTGTCAACATCAGTATATCTGGATACTGAATTTTACTTGTCATATTGTCTGCAGTGGGTATCAATAGTTTAGCTAAAAGTAAGCTAAATCAATTTCAAAGGTTGTCAAACCTCCTCCCTACTTTGGTCAATATTTTTTTCACTAAAGGAGAGGGCTTATTCATGATAAATATGGTATTAGCTGGTGGGTAGTGATAGACAGCAATGATAGAAAAATATCAAAATTCAGTAAAACTTTTATGAATCGATCTTTGATGATTCAAATTTCTCAATTAATGAAATTTTTTTTCCAGTTCTGAATTATATTCCTATATATAACTACTAACTTACCCCTTCGTGAATCTAAGGAGTTTTATAAATTGAAATTTTAGATGCATCAAAGTTTTTTCAAAGACCATCAGCTATGATAATACATCTATTGACACTTATGATTCAAATAAAACATTTACCTGTTCAGTATTGTATATGTATTTTTGTGCCATGGTAAAGATGTGCACATTGCTACTAGACAATGGGATCATGATAATGTGCTATTATTGCCTCTGTGTTAGGAGGTTAATTAATGACTGAACACAGATAAAAGTTTAATTGCTTACTTACAAGCAATGATATTTAATCAAGATCATGGGACGTCGTGTGATGTTCTCTGCCGCCATTGCAGTAATGGCATAATTTGGTCTAATTTACAGAATTGTGAAAGCAATTAATCGGAGGAGATCCTTTAACTGATATGATGATTGAACTTGTTCCCAAAGCACCTCTTGTCAGTTTTAAGCATAAAGGCATCAGAAACATGGTAATTTATCTGTTAGTCATGCGTTCTACTATTGATTCAGACTAGCCTTAGTCAGAATGTCAGCTAACACTCTTGCAATTTCTATGGCCAAGGATGTGTGATGTTAGTGCTGTCGTTTCTTGACACCATACAGAAAGATTTTAATTTGCTTCCTTTAAAATTCATTAGTGCCTTTAATGTTTATGTATCAGTCTTGAAATAATTACTGTAACATCTGAAGAACGTAAATGCTGAGGTTATTTCATTCAAAATTGATCCATGAAAAACACATATTGTGTAACATGAAGGCAAGAAAGTAAATGACAGCAAACGTCTATTTCTTCTTGATTTCTATTTAAAATCTTGTTTGCTTTTTTATTAATTTTTATTTCATGAATAAAAAGTGAACTCTTTTTATCTTGGTGGTATAGTATCATAAAAGGTGTAGCCATCTTCAAAGAATTAATTAATCTTCATTATTGGAGAAAAGTCTTAAGCATATTGTCTGTTAATTTTTGTTCAAAAGTTTTAATTTCGAAACATAAATACTTAAAACAATTCCAATGTTTTTCTTTCTTTCTTTTATTATATATATATATTTACTCCATAACATATTGGACTCAAAAATTGATTTACGTATAATGTGACTGGACAGAATGAGTTCCAAAGCTATCTGAAAAGGTTTCTTCTCGTGTGGAAACAACATGCCAAACATGAGCATGATGACTTCCAAAGAATGTTAGCTAACCTTTGAAAACATGGCAGACTTATGGATGACTTATTATACATGTCTCCCTATACAAGGGCTAAATTGTATGCTTTTTAAAAATAAAATTGACAGTTTATTGTTCATCAAAAAATATATTTAATTAAAAAGAAAGGACTGTTTATAAAAATTTATATATACCACATCAAAATTTATTGTTTCTTTTTTTATACATCTTTGAAAGTGAGTAGAATGTGTACATTTTCCTTAGAGTTTATCTATTAATCATAGGTGCATGATTTTTGTTCACAGGGCAAGGCCTGCAACCAAATACCATAACTAACTAATGAAAGTATGTAGATATTCTTTACAACCCTAACATGAATTGGATCAATAAAAATAACCTTGAACAAGAAGTTAATTTCAAGCACTGATCATATCCTGCAAACATGGAATAACTACTTACCCAACTTGCATTTCTTCTTTTGTAAAGCTTGCTGCTTCTTCACCCAATTCATGTAAATACATGCAATCCTGTAATCACAGATACCATACCATTAACAAGCACTTCTTGTTAAGTTTACAACACGGCCAAATCTTTATGAAATCATGAAGTTCTCATCTCAATACATACAAACTTCCTGAAGGAAATCAAATATCAACACAGCATTGAACTTCTTTTAAGTTATCCAACCTAAGGATAAAGTGAAATCCACAGGGTTTCCTTATACAAGTTGTTGACTTCCAGACTTCCAAAGCATCTCACCCAAGGACTCAACCATGACAGCTCAGACTGTGCCATTTCTCAGCTTCCAGAGAATCATAAACTGCATATGAAGAAAGCATCAAAACCATAACCCCAAACTTTCACTAGTCTACAGAATGAGGTATCATAGTCTTTTTTGTTTTGTTTTTTGTTTTTGTTTAAAGCAATAGGACACAAGAGTTCATGTCTACAGCGTCAAGGATAAGGAGAATACTATGTTGACTTACTTGCTTAGGGCATTGTGCACCTCTAAGAAAATGACTGCAGTATTTAGTGGTACCCAATGATGCCTTTAATGTCCTCCCATCAACATGTACATTATTCACTGCTAAGATGGCACGGAGAGCATCATCTGAACGATGGTATGTCACATAAGCACTAGCACTTGGACCCTACAAAAACATACATACGACCTCATATAAAAGCCTCAGAAAATGTAAACTGGAAGAAATTTTAGTTTGGTTTTAAAGAAGGGACAATATGCAATGCTTATGAATTTAAGATATGTAAAAAGCAATTGCAACAGTCACAAGAGACTTAGTAAATGGTAGTAGAAGTTTTTACCAACATTATTCTGGAAGATTTGTCCTTACCAACCAAAGATGATCTAGATGGAAATAGGAAAATTACTTTTCCCTCCAAAATATTCTGTAATCATATCAAAGTGATATGCACATAACCAATTTTTTGGGATCAAATAATCCTAACAGAATATATCTAAGAGTGAAGTGTTCCACGTTAACATTACCTGTGCTCCAGCATAGGAAGTACTTTGATTGATGACAACTTTATGAATTTTTCCAAACTTTCCAAAATATTCATGCTTTTTTAACACCTCTGGTTCTGCTAATTTTTTAGAAAGACCAACAACAAATACAAGGTTCCTCTGAACAACCCTGAAATAAACAAGCATAAATATATAAATCTGTATGTTTAAATATTTCTTTGTTTAGAATCTTCATACATCTAGTACATGCCATATCATTTCTTTTTTTAATTTGATATAATACTGTAAAATTCATAAATTGATTTCTGAAAAATTGTTGAGTCTTTAATCTGAATAATAATTGAAGCCCCCACAAAACTTAAAATCTGTAAAATCTCAGTAACTGGTGTTTTGGTAGTAGGAAACATACCTGACATTTGCTAAATGTTTTCTGTTTTCAGCTGCTTTTTGTTTCCTCTGTAGGTCTTTCTGCTTTCTTTCCTTTTTGATTCTTTGTAGTCTATATTGAGAACATTCTATGAGATCAAGCCTAAATAAACAATTAATTTGATAACAACAATATCAAAGTGGTATAATTCAACCTTTTACATGAATTGTAAGCCATAGGCTAATGTATCAAAATGTGTCCAGGTCTAGTTACTCAGGGACAATTTCCTGTACAGGTGTACCGCTCATGTCACTGTAACTACCATTGTGTTTCTTTCCATTTCTTTTTGAAGAATGAAATACACACTTATGTCTGTCTTGTAATAAAGAATCTTGTTGGAAATCAAGAAAATAAAATTGTAATAATCCTAAAATCACAAATAGAATTACACACCCTCAATCCCTGCTAGTTGTTACTGAACCAAATTAAGCCAGTTCAACTAGGGGCAGTTTTGCTAGTATCATCATTGGGACTCATACTTACTCATCATCTGTGAGGGGCCTAAACACTGCTGGATCTTCTGGATATTGCTGAGGAAACAAAAAAATTCTTGTGAGTTGTATAACAGCACAGTTTATTATCATTTCAAAATGTATTGTTCTAAGAACACAAGTTAATTTAACCAATGTTCTAAGGGCATTGACGGGAAAGAGTTAAACTATCTAAACATCTCTGGTTAAATTATGGGTATTTAAAAGTATAATGCAATTTTTCTCTCCAAATCAAATTGAGAAATATATCTTTAAATGCAACCAAAACATAAAGATGAAGTGTAACCTTGAAAAACTTGATTCATAAAGATTCATGACAAAAAATATGAAAATACAGAATGAACTGGAAAGTGTAAATGGCACAATTACTTTTCAATTTTTTTGCAATAGTAACTAATTTGACAAGAAACTATGTTTATGATTACATACTAGTAATTGAATTCTCAAAAGGCCTGCAAAGCATGTCATTAAGATTCTATTTTAAACAATGAACTTCTTTTTGACCCAAGAATTTTCATATATACATATAAGTTTAGATATGCTGTATATGAATACATAAATATGAAGTAGATAAACTAGAGATGTTGAAGAATAGCTTTCCTTTGCTTGAAATACTAAAACTGAAGGTTTTTCTTCTGACCGATACATTTTGTGACAACACTGAGATATCCAACAGTAATACCTGGTATAATTAATAGAGAAAAAAAAACAAAGAAAAAGACTACAAATATCTAAAAAGCAGGTGCAATTTGAAACTTGTGCAAAAAAGAAAAAGAAAAAAAAAGGTTTGGTTCAAAACATGTCAATGTTTGCAATTTTCCTCTCTCTGTCCAATTTTCCTTATTTTCTCATCACATCATTCTTCAACATCAGAAAAGCAACTATTCCAAGTATTGTTGATATCAGCACCTATATGTGCACCCTTTATCATCTGAATGAAACCTTGAAAGGCTACAAGTGCACATACTTTTAAGAATGGTTACAGTCAAAGCAATATGCTTATAAACCTAAAGCCAGTCCAATGTGTTAAATGCATTATGCAAAGTTACTTTGTGAAATACTGAATGCAAAAAGCTCATTTTATGGGGAATCTTTCAATCCTTTTAAAGATATTTTTTGTTTCAAGATGACTAAATTCAGTGTGATATTGTTAAGTCGCTATATAAACCACATATACAGTAAAAAGTTCATGCCAATTATTTTAATCATTCACTTTAAATGTTTTATATGAAGTACTCTTTACAAAATGTTTCCAGCAAAATGCTTTTAACAAAAGGGTTAACGTAAAATGCTTTTTACAAAATGGTTAATGTATTTTTTTTTTATGAAACAGGCCCTTTGGTAATATTAAATGTTAAACAGCTGCATGCTTTATAGGTATATTGGTAACCATGGATGCTTTGTATATCCTTTCCAGTTTGAAAACCTTCAATAAATAGGCAAAGTATTTTGCATCACGTATTTTACATATAATAATCTGCATATCATACCACCGCCTTTGCATTTAGTGATCAGCATATCATGCAGCTGGCTTTTCATAGTAAAGCATCAACAATATACCTAACACATCAACAACTTCTGTAATCTGTAATGTACCTTTCTGCAAGCTGGACACAATCCATTTTCATCTGTTCTTATTCTATGCCAACAGAATCTGCAAATCTGAAACACGAAAAGACCATAGTTTAGCATCAGTGTTAACAAATTAAACAGCACACAGAAATAATATAAATTCTGTAATACAGCCCAACACCTTGTACTACCATTCTTCACCAAAATACATTTAACACAATATCAACCAAAAAATTAATTCATTTTATAAGATGTTAAATGTCATGTTAAACCTTTTTTTCCCCGACTCAATTAAGGTAAAAAATATAAATAAATAAACTTAAGAATACTTCCATTCCTGGTCTTTATACTAACCTGGTATCCACATGTGCAAGGGAAAAAATTGATATCATCAATTTCCAAAGGTTCCATACATAGTGGACACTGTAATGTAATAATGACAATATAGAGTATCTACTAAGTACACCATATTGTTTTAAACGGTAAGATCAATTATTCATACACATGAAGATAATCTTTAAACATTCCTTAACTTTCGATTTAAAAATCATTTTACAAAACAAAATGCTCTCAATGACACTTCAAGCTCTCATCATGTTATATGTAACTCAAGACTGATGTAACAAATTAAATTACCTCTATTTGTTCTTCTGCAGCCATGCTATATTGGTTCCAACTAACACAACGCAATTTCCAAATTCAGTTCTGTAAAATAAATATTACTTAATGATTAAGCTACATCTATCAAATATAACAAAACATGCATGTGTATAATGTACACATCATCATTAAATATACAACACATCCACAACAAGGTCTCCTAGTATAAAATAATCATCACAAAAGCACAAAAATATATTTTGAAGAAATACTTACAGAAGGCTTACTTATATTTTTTGTCTGCTAATGGTAACTGGTAACAATGTAGACAAAAAATATTACACATATATTTCTATATGGTAAACCTACCATCTGATATCAAAACCTTGACCACACTCTGTCTTGTGGATATATTTTAGTTAATGTTGTTAAAATATCTTTCATATATATATATATGTAAGTATATAAACCTTAGAAATATTGCTAAAACCAAACAAAAATCAGCTTTATTTTCTCAACTGAACAAAGAGCTTATCAGCTGTGATTTTTATTAATGAATGATAATATATCATGGGCTTGCATATGTCAGAGTCATTAAACAATCATGCAGTGAATTCCCCCAGTAATAGAAGAACAAAAACATTTCCTGATTCTAACTACCCCAGCCTTGAGAACAGTAGTTTTATATTTGGAGCCAGACATGCTGATACACACAAAGTCCCATTCTAGGATAATCAATATACATATAGCTGCAGACTGCATTAGTGTTAGGAAACATGCCTTTGTAACAATACTTCAACCATAACACAGATCTACTTGAACATCATTTCCAGCTTGTCAGTTTTGTATCAAGGAACTAATGATCATGTCCTATTTCAATGGGGCTTTTTTGACATTTTCTTGAGATATAAAGCCATGTTTTTCAATTACTATCATAAAACTTATGCAAGTTCTAAAATTTGGAGTCTGCTCCAGGATTTTTCTTCAGGATTGTCAAATATGGTAAACAGTATGGTCATGATTTGGTCATGTGCACTGACTTCTTCAAATGTAAAAGAAGTTTTTTGTTTCATTAAAAAATAAAAACTTCTCTTCAGTATAAATGTATTTTTCTAAGGTGTTAAGAAGCCTATCAAAATTTCTCTAAAAATGATACCAAAATTAAAAAATTAAGAACCAACCAAAGGAGAATTTACACATTTTATTATAACATGGAGGCAGATTTCTATTGAAGGAAAAATTATAAAATTATGTTATAAAAATGAAATTATACATTACTACATTGCTGATCTCAAACTTTTGCAACTTCAGATCAAGTTCACAATATAAAACACATATATTACATGTAAATTGTAGTTAAGACAAAATTTTGTAAACTGGCTTTCACATGTATAGAGCAATTTCTTAAAAATTAAAAAAAAAAACCCCAACTTTCTCATAAATTCTACTTTATGATTTTTTTAAAAAGTTCTATGTTCAAAAATATTAACAGTTCATTCTGTACAAAAACGGGGCAAGTGAAAACGTGAACAGTAGTTCTTCGCTGCAAGAGAAAATATTCTATATCATTTGATATGTCACGAATATTATTAGAAATGTTATCTTATCATAACTCCATGTTATTGATCATTAACAATCAGGTTATGTCTGTACCTTTATCAGGTAAAGGAGAACTGACTGACCTTTGTATTGATTGAATGTATTATTATTAGTCCTATCATGATCTGCAATATACACTTGTATATTTACATGTTCATCTTTCTGTTACAAATTTCGATTCAAATATATATAATGTATTTCAATTAAACTACAAACACCGTAAATTTTCGCGTATAGTGCACACTTTTTCAAGCTAAAACTGTCGTGTCAAAAAGGGGGTGCGCATTATACGCAGGAACATGTCATTCTTGGGGTTATCATTCCCGAGTTCTGCGTCCGCCATATTGGATTACCTCCCTTCACATAGTTACATGTAAAAGTCGTCGGTCTTATATGATAGTTTGAAGATAAAAACAACAAAAATAAATAAAATAAAATAAATTTCGAATGTTTTAATCATCGGCCATTCACGCTAACATTACGGTGAATCTAAATTTTTTTCGTTTCCCGTCGTTCGAATAGTGACGGTCTTACTATTGGTCGGGGCTATAGTAGTGTCTGAATTTCTGCCTCATTTTGATGATGTATCTGTGGAATTCAATGAGTCCTGAAGTTTTTGGGCAATTGTCGTTCTGTTCATAAATCGGACAGCCCATCCCACCGATCCCAAAGTTGGTGACCCCATGACCTCTCTTGATTTGCATGGCCCGCACGCGCAGTTCTGTTGTACTGGCAGCGATGCCGGGATCTCGGCGATCGCATACAAAGTTGAACAGCTCTCTCTCCAGCTCTGGGTGTTTCGCTGTCGCACCTGTGTCAGCCCTTCTGGTCAGTGGTTGGGACTTTAGACGGTCTTTTCTTTCTTCCGTGCCTTGATATTTCACTCTGGAATGTCGAAGTGGCGACCGACGGCACGAAACTTGAAGTCTCTCGGCGTTTGCAGTTTCCTCATGTCGAAGTCGGTGTAAATAATCAATAATTAAGTACCTTCGGATACCGTGGTAGGTACAGATATGGGACAAGGTATGATTGAAACTTTTCAGACAGTAAAAACAACATCGTTTTCTGAGCAATAGTACGCGTTCAGCCGAAGCCGGGTGTCGTCAATCTCCTCATACTCAACATGTTTGTTACCTGTTAAGAACCGTTAATTATCCAATTAGCCAAGCCTTTCATGCTTGTTAAGTCAGGCACCTGTGTGAATTTGTTTATATAAGGTAATTAAATATGTTAGGGTCACGATGATTGTGGTTTCCTAATTATCAATGGATCAAACCACAACTGTTTCATCGCAGTAACCAGTAATCAATTAATCTTTCTGTAGATTTTTTTTTTTAATCTGACCCCAAAAAAGTACCTGCGCACTATACCCGAGTGCACACTATACCCGCAAATTTACGGTATACCTACATGTACAAAGCATATGAACTAAAAGGAAACCCTGGTAGTTATTGGAAGATGTTTCCAACATATTTTTGTCAGTCATATATAGAACATCCAAAATTCCATTTAAAAGAATGTGTAATGTTGATATATACTGTTGGTATTTGTAATACAATGTTAATCTAAGAAATGAAGCTGCCTTTTTATTGTGCCCATTTCACATAAAATTTTGACTAACAGAAATCTAGTGAGACTTGATCAGTCTCCCATAATAATTTGAGATGCTCTTGTGTTGTCATCTAGAGTGATGTAGAGTGAAATATTGCAAGCTGTTTGTATTGCAATTGTTATGAAAATGATAAAGTTAATAGTTATATTGCGACACCAGTGACGCTCTCCCACAAGCATCTTGAATTTAGTCATTTTGGCATCGAGCGAGTCTGAAAGGTAAGCTTTCTTTCTATCTTTATGCAAAAATAAAACAGCAGCTTGGTATGGAGTATTTCATCAAACTCTTTTTCTTGTTATTTGCTTACAGTATGACATTGAAATTAACTTAAAAAACTGTCTGGTTTAACTTTACTTGGCACTCAACATCTAATGGAGATTTTCTCATCAGTAGCTTTGAAAACTATTTGTAGCATTAATAAAATATATTGGCAGTATTTTTAACAATTAAGAATTAAATGGAACATTATGAAAATTGTTGTGATTATAAGTAAGTGAGGGTACCTTTATGTGCATGTTGCTTTATTGCAAAGATAGATTACCAAGTGTTGTTTCGATAAAGTATAGGAGAGTATGTGTGGAATGTAAGAATGAACATCTTAAAAAACAAAGTACTTGTAATTCAGTTTTAATCTCTGGCATGGTGAAGATTTAGCATACCGAGTTTGAAAGATATCAGTTAACAATCGGCTTGTGGCCAGTGATAAATATGGGTGCTGCAGCTGTGTGCTGATTTGCCAGATTTGTGAACTCAATATATATGTCTGGATATACTGAAAACAGCTGTCCATGGAAATGTCAAATGTCTTGGAGGCAGAGGATTCTAAATTGATGCTTCAAGTAATGAAATGATTTATTACTACTAAGAAAGATAACAGATTTCCTTTCAATATAATCTTTTAAACTAACATCATGTACGAATGAGAAAGCATTCCATCATTATCAGAAATCGAAGAGGACATTGATTTATACAGAATGATAAACTGAAAGTAAAAACATGTTCTTGTATATCTCGGTCGAAATAACGTCAAAATGTCTCTGATGAAAAACTGACAACATGACATAATTCAGGACGAGGGAAGGACAGAACGCACGTCAAAGCGCTTCTTCAGCAGGTGTTCGATCAAACATTTCAGCGCCATTACAACCTTGACACTGTACGGGCTTTTTAAGTAACATTTCAAAAAAGGCATATTCCAATCTTTTTGTCAATTCGAAAAGTGCATTTTCTGCTTCATATCATGAGACTGGCATTTATCCAATCTAATTACGGAAAAGGGCAAAAACAGACTGTCCCGACGGTTCTTGTTTGGGCTGTACTACGTCCGAGGTTACGGGCGTTTTCTTTTGGCGATATATTATGTGACGGCTAATGAGCATAAATTGTTAAAGTCCATTGAATAGAATAATTAAGAAGATATTGTTTGGCGAATCTATGGGGCCTTATTGAACTCGAGTTACTTACAACACCGAAATTTGCTCACGGGATGCTTCTCCGAAATAAGACGATGACACAAATTACTTCTTTGCGCAGCTCTGTTCGCGCAGGTAAGACCCGGATGTTTCGTAATAAATTTCTCGCGATATTTCCGTTCATGATCTCTCGAGCGTTTGGTTATTAATTTTACAGACGCTTGTAAACTTGTTTTATTGATATTTTACGTTGTGCTTACGGCTCATTGATCTAAAGACACAGACATGGCACGTTATATTCCAACGTGTACGTAACTCGTGGATATCTCACACTTTCGTAACGGTGCTATTGAAATTCCACATTCTATTTTCAGTTTACGTATACATGTAACAGCCTCGCTCATGTACACAGCAGATACTGAACACTAGAATACTGAGCTGGGGGTTTCCCCATTAAACTGAATTACTTTTATTCGCAAATCCACGTGTACAAACATTTGATGTCGTGGCTTGGGTTTGTCACGCTATTCTGGGAAAGTTACCTTAAAACTGAAAAAGACTATATATGTACTGACAGCACGGAAATCAATAGTAACTTAAATAAAATAAACTAAAAATACATGTCTGGTCTTCTTTGAAAAGTGCTGTACATGATAGAATTAATCTAATAAATAGAAAATAGTAATGAAGATAAAAAAATCAGTTGGAATTACTGGAACATTGTATTGCATTATTAGCAGGTAAAGAAGATTGAAAAGATAGCGAAATGATTGGACAAAAATGGAAATTAAATGTTAAATTTGAATGCTCAGCAAAGGCATCAATGTCCTATACAAAATCTGATAATATCAATTTAGTAGGTCTTTGGTAGACATGATCTTCAAACCAGATGCAGGTATTTATAAAAAAATCTCATTATAATTTGATTTGCAGAAAATGTGTTTGTATCAAAATGTTCAGTCATGAAGAGATTGGACATGATATGAAGAATGCAATTGATTTACAGTTGTACCAGCACTTGTGTTAAAATTGGCATGGTATAATCAACAGCACTGTATAAAACAACATAAGTGTATCAGAATGAGGAGGGACTATTTTGCTTTCCTTTATTCCTGCTACATCTAAATGGACAACCTGAAGACACAATAACATGCAATATAAAAAAACATCACAGTATCCTAATACATAATTAGAAAACAATATTCAAATACTGACATTGAGGTTCACATACATGATTATCACTTACAAGGCATACGTTAAAGTAAACACTCGTATGCATTAATAAATATTGCAAACATGATAGAGGTCAGTAATTATTTCAATGTTTTTGCTGGGAATTAAACCAGGGTCCTCAGGCTTTTTCTTGCACTAAAACAATGGATTAAGCAAAAGAGAAGTTGCTTTATCCAACTGGTCTATTGCAGCTAGTATTCACCAAAGTTACATCCTTCCCATCAAAGAAAGAACTTGTCCTTGAGTTTCCAGGGGTTGCAGTGATGCTCTGAGGGCATTGCCAAACACTATTCCTGAGCCTCCAAAATGTCTTATGCTCAATTGATTGGGGTAAACGGAAGTCTCATCTGCATAAAGTGAACTTTTAAGTTCATATAAAACAAAAATTATTCTAAAACCATCTGTAAATCATTAAAATCTACCAAGAATTTTGGAGAATGACAAAATACCAAACTCTTGGACTCAAATCGACAGATCAATTCAGTTTTGTATATTGTTCTTAAGAAAGAACCTGGGATGCATGTTCAGCTGTTCATTATTAAAGCATTTGACATTTTCTTCAAACAGGCATTAGATGATTCATTTTGAAACAAACTGAAAATATACTTTTTTTTTTGCAGAATTGGTATTAACACAAGAGACATGTCTTTTAAGAGGGAAGGGAATGATAGTAATCAGTTAGGAATTCTGAGGGTGAGTACAAGAAACAGAGCTTACATGAAGCTAAATTTTAAGAACATGTATACAGTATAACATATTACAGCTGTGTGTATAATTACATAATTGTTTCCATACCAGTCTTCTAATAACGTCTATATAGGCAGATAAGTTTCGTTGCTTTTATTTCAATTTTCATAGATCAGTCAGAAAAATATTGAAAAGAGCAATTTTGAGAATTTGATTTCAATAGAAACTCTTGGCATGAAATGTCCAGGGTAGATAATGTTGCCCATGGCTGTCATTTTTTTTGTATTTACTCACTCGCTCTTTAATGGATGGAGATATTGGACTGTAATTTGGTACAAAGTTACCGGTATATGATATAGATCAAGGGTTGATTTGGTCATTTTATTTTTAGTCCACCATCATCATGTGGTTGGCTATTCATATCACTAAACAACCATAAACAATTTTTGTTATTGTTGTCATTTGAGAAGGCAAGATCAATCTTTTTAAAATTTTGTGTGTAGGTTCCCCTCAGTCCATATTTGTGCCTGTTTGATTTTGGAATGTATCAGAAAAACAAAATGGCAGACAGTCATCTTGGTTTTTAATAATGAAAGTTTGGTACTTTTTTTTGTATTGCTTTTTGTTGAAAAGGATTGGATGTATGTCCTTTTAATCCCTTTGAGGACTGATCAGACAAACGAAATGGTGGACAGAGGACACCATGGACTATGAAAGATTGTTATAGCTATTTTCTCAAATGTGATGTAGGTTCCCATTTGTCCTTTTTTGTGGCCTTCTGATTTTTGGACTGATCAGAAAAATAAAATTGGTGGACAGGCAACCAGATTTAGATTTAGATTTGGCATTTTAAAATTATTGTCATTATTTTCTGAAAGAATATTATTATTTCCTACGGGAATTTCTTCCAATTTTTCAAAACTTTTGAGCAAAAACATGAAAAAGAGAAAAGCAAGGAAAACTCTTAAACCACAAATAAAGATCATATGATAGTGGGAGCCAAGATACACTGGAGATCCATTTTCATTTCTATGTTTAAATCTAGCATTTTTAGATTAGAAAATTTCAGGAAACTTTTGATTAACTTTGGATATCAGCCTAGGTCTACCAATAACTTATTTCAGCAAGAAAAGTCTGGAGTTCACCTACTTGAAAGTCAATAATATTAAATTTCCCTAACATATTTGTAGTCCTCATTGGATGCCTGCAGGGCCTTTCCCTTTCTGAGACAGTTAACTGTAATGCTTTACTACACCAGCAGTGCTTGTGATGAAGAAATGTGTGCCCAATTTAGAAGAGAGATAACTCTTAATATATGTTTTACAGAAAAGAAGAGTTCGTGAATTATTAGGTTTAGCAGTACCAGAAGATGAAGCTTTACTGATGAGCAATGGCAGGTGAGTTTTACTTATATTTTTACAATTTTCATTGCTCAATTTTGGAGTCAAGTGCATGTGATGCTAAAACATGTAGATCTTAATTAATGTGATAGATGTATATAAAGATGTTAGATTTGAAGACAAGAACTACATGGTAGATTATAGTCATGCAGATGTTTCTTCATCTATTTGAAAAGTATGAGGTTCATGGTTGAAAAGAACTGATATCACTATTGTTTTATTTTAGCCCTGTTTAAAACTCTTCTTACTTCATTACTGATAAAGAAAACTCTGTACCATCAAACTTTTTAAATGTTTTTAATTTTTGACATTCAGAACTTGATATGGCTTATGGATAACTCATGTTTTGAGATTTTTCAAAGTTCAGACATTATTGATAAGAATATGCCATTTTAGTTTGTTTATGAATTATTTGATTTGATTTCTAGGTTTGCCTGCTTGGTTTGTGGACACCGACCAGTGTTTGATACTGTGGATATGCTGATATTACACAGACAGGGAAAGAAGCACATGGCCAGTAAGAATATGTGTTTCTGTAAGCTTGCGTGTGAAGTGTAGTTAACTGATGGCCAGAAGTAATAAAAGACAGTTAGTGCTCATACATTAGTATGCATTCTATAATATATGTAGGAAAACATAGTGAAAACTTGTTTTCAGAACAGATTGATAATTTTTGATGTTGACACTTGAAAATTTGTTTTTATTGATTGTTATTAATGTTCTCTAATGTGCTTTTATGAATATACCATACACATAGGTGTTTGATTGTGGGTGTTTTTTCAAATTTAGATGTAGAGTATGAAGCGGAGAAGAAAGTTGAATTGAAGAACCTGATAGAGAAGCGCAAACATGATCAGTACATGAAAGACGGCTCATCAGTGATACATCAGGTAATCACATTTGATGTTCCATGTATGTCAGGAACAGGTCCTTTGGGAAAATTTTGATTGTTGGCATAAAGTGAAAGTTCCAATTAACAATGAATTATAAAGTACACATCTGGCTGATTTCTTTAGATTGGTATATTTTTAACTTGATATTTACTGGTATGTGATAACACTTTGATGTTAAATTTCTAACTTAGCTTGAAAGCACTTTGAAAATTCATAAATGCTAGATACCTTTTTTATTTTATGGTTATAGAAACAAACAAGCTGTAGGGGATTAGGAATTGGTGCACCCTATGATCCAAGGGCCAAGAAACCACGACCTCATGAAAGGAAACAAAAACTGGATTTCACTGGCTCAATTTCAAAGGAACCTGTTGCAACAACTTTCTCAGCATTACCTGGAAATAAATATTCTCTCTCTCATCATCAAGGAAATAATTCAAAAGATGAATTAGATCCAAGTAAAAGAGCATATAATCCAAAAGATGATGACAATAAGACAGGTAAAAAGTCCTTTTCTAATCAATCCTTCAGGGACCTGATATTACAACAGACAGACAGTGGTCCAGTTAAACATTCTAAGCAACTTAAAAAGATATTTATGCAGGAAAAGTCAACAGATGATGGAAACATTTCAAACTGTAAACCCTATGTTAGGAGTAGAACTCAAAGTGATAGAAAATACGGTGATCGCCTTGCAGCCTCTAGTAATGCCATTCCTCAGTTACCTTCACAAAACACAAGCTTACAACCAAATTTGCCACCCAACAGTTTTCATTATAGTAAACATAGTGCAGCATTTCCTGTTGGTGATAGTGCTACCTGTGAACATCCAGCAGCAAGAGGATGTAATTTGAAACCTTTACACCAGTCAGAAATTCTGGCTTTAGCGGGAAATCCTCCCCCACCGCCTCCACACAAGAGACAGACACGGGATGAGAAATTTTCCACTCAATCAGAAACTGCAGCTTGGTCTGAGGAAAGAAAGAAAAAGGCTGAAATGTATCTGCAATGTAGAGGGTGAGGTTTTAGCCCATTATCATCAGATAGGAGAATTGTTCAAATTGCCCTTTGTACATGGTCTATAATCTTGTTATCACTATTTCTGGAGAATTTGATGGTTCCATTTTATTCCTAGTTTTTCAACTGTGATTTTCAGATGAAATTGGAAAATTGAAATTGCTGACAGGTAGCCGTCTTTGATATTGAATGCAGCGGCTGCCCATCTGTTGGTTTGACAGTAAAAGATTGGTATTGTAATGTATTGAGTAGTGCTCAAAAGTTTGTGTGTAGAGGTCAATTGATCTGTAGTTATTCATAGTATTACTAATTGGAAAAACAAAATGGCTTATAGGCAGTGATGTTTGATTCTGACAGTTCAGTTTCGTTATCTCCTATTTTTCAGAGGTTAGGGAGGGGTCTTTCTCTAATTTCATATGACATAGGAAAGCAAAGTGATTAACAGGTGACCATCTTATATTTTGACAAAAAAGTCTATCATTGCTATTTCTCAGAAAGCACTGGTGAAATTTTTTCTGAAGTATATATATAAATATATATACCGTAGTGCGTTATTGGCCATGTTCTGTTTTAATCAGAAAATTGTTATCACTTTTTTTTTTCACTAAGTACTTTTTATGCTATCCCAATAGTCGCCACTTTATCCGTCCATCATAAGAACTACCAATCTTTTTTGCATAATTTAGGAGTTATTTCCCTTTGTTATTTTTCATACTTGCATTTTGTTGCATTCTGGGAGCATAACCTGTCTCTGATGTTCCATGTCTTAGACATTATCCTTTGATTTGAAAAATAAGATCAATTTTACTAAGTATTAAACTCCATAATTATAAATCATCTTTGATGTTGCAGTGCTGGGTGGAAGAAAGACCTTACAGGGAAATGGATTCGAGATGAAGATGCTGAATTTGATTCGGATGAGGAACCACCAGATTTACCATAGCTGAAATGAAATTAAAGCTTAAAGGGAAATAACAGACACTCTTATTTCAAAAATGTGAAATACAGTACTATCTTCATTATTGCTTGTATTGTGTTGTTCATTATTAGTAAATCAAGGGGAATTGTTTACATGTTGGCATTTTTTTAAAAGTAAATAATAAAAATAGGTAACTGAAAGAATGAGTTTTTATAGGAACTGAAAGAGTCCTTTCCTTATATAAAAGTAACCATTGGTAAAAAAAAGCCAATGAATGAGAGAATAATACCCATCCCCCTCTCTCAATCCCCCCCCAACCCTAAAAAAAAAGAGAAACAAACCCAGAAGTTTGATATATATTTCTGTTTATTTAACTTGCAGCAATTATTGGAATATTCAAGAATTTTATATACAATTTATTTACAAATTGAAATATCTAATAGTGTACATCTTTCAATTTCATTAGTGAACTACATAACATATAATTGGAGAGAAAGAGGGAGAGTCTCTAACATAATGCACCAAAGAAGGAAGAGTCATGTTGACTTTAAGTTATGTGGACTTTAAATTGATACCTTTAATGAAAGTCTATACACTTAATAATATAAAAAAATCAAAATAAATGAACATATCTATAGCTGTTTATCAACAAAACCACAAAATTAATGCAACAGAAATCTAAACTTAAATCTAAACAAATGAATGTTTCAATTCATCTATCAAAGAAACAAATATGTTTCACTACAGTTGTCAGTGTTTCCTTCATAAAATCACCCTGTCCCCCAGAACAGTGCAGGAGTGTTCCTAAATATTGTGAGAAATGTCACAAGTCTCCCGCAATATAATTATTGGATACTTAATTTCGTTATACAATCTACAAGAAATCCGTTGATTCCCTTTGCAATATTAACATTCAAACGAAATTCCCTCAATATACATGCAAGGGATTCCCTTTGCAATAATAGCAGTCAAATGAAAGTCCATTGATATGTTTGTCAGGGATTCCCTTTGCAATATTACCAGTTGAAAGGAAATTCTCTTGATACAATTGTTAGGGATTCTCTTTGCAATATTACCCAAGTCAAGAGACTTAATGAACTTTTCAGTATTGCAATGTACTTTGCAATTTATGTACATATTGTGTACAGTTCTAGGGAAGTTTTCTCTATATACTTGTCAAAGATTTCTTCACAATGTTGGAAAATAATATTAATTGACTTCACAATGTCAGTCCAGTGAATTTGTTTGGAATTCCACAGATATTGTGATGGTGTGGAGCATTTTTACAAGCATTGACAGTAGCTGCAGATATCATTCAGTACAGAAGACGAGGGTATAGCTTATCTGGAGGACTTGGTGTGTCAAATGTTGGCTTTTTCAGAAATGGAGGTGGAATAGGAAGCCACAGAGGGGAGCCATCAGAGTCTGGTGTTGTTGACTTCAACATGTTCATGACTGCAACTGGTGATTTGACTTTGGGCTGGGGACTATCCAACATATCAAGGAAATCCATTGGCACCCTTGTCTGAAAACAAAAAAATCTATAAATCTTTTATCATTGAAGAAAATTAAATTTGTGGGGTGAAAGATTATAAGGAAATCCATTGGCACTGTGTGGTGATCGATAATAAGATTAATTAAAAAAATCGTTAGCAACATGATTATAAAGCCAAGTTGAAACTTTTCTAGTGATTATATTATATCATAAAAATGATTCCATAAAGTTAAGAAGAACATGAGGGCCATGGCCCTTAATGGTCATCTGACAATCAAAAAATGGATGGGCAAACCACAGAATTCACTGATGGTAGTCTGATGAATTTAAATTATGAACATTTTCATGACCAAAGCGAAAAAAAAATAAGATTTGGTCAGAACAATTTCAGGATCATTTCATGCATGTTTGATTTCGGTGCGACTCCCTGATAATGTTTCCAGATTTGGTTGAAATCTACCATGGCATTAAGAAGAAGTAGTGTTTTGTAGCAGAACGTTATCTAACTTTCCCATTTAGGGCCCACCCACAGGTCCCTTGGGGTCAAATCAATTTTCTATATTTAAGAAATGATTCTCCACTCACATTGTTTGTACCACATTGGTTAAATTCATACAAGCCCAGGGTTTTCCATAAGAGCCGGTCGTCGGCCAATTTGACCGGCTACTTTATTTGGCTGCCTACACCAATCCAGTTCCGTAATAATGTTCCGTACACAACTACATGTACACAGCAGGCCAGCCTCCTACACAGCCTACTACTAACAAAATTATGGAAAACCCTGCAAGCCTGAAGAAAGAGTAGCATTTTGAAACAAATGTTAAATTACTTTCTCAGTTTGGGTGCTGCCCACCCCCAGTGGTTGAATCAATTTTAATAATTTAAGAAATAGCAACCCAACTGCAGTAATGCTTCTGACCAAATTTGGTTGAAATCTACCCAGCTGTTAAGAAGGAGCAGTGTTTTGAAGCAAAATATTGTCTTATTTCCTTTTGTGGGGCTCTGCCCTCAATTCCCTAAGAGCTGAATCAACTTTCTGAGAAATAATCTCCATCCCTGACTGATGAATCTAGCCAAGGATGCTTAAAATCCACAGAAGTATAAAGGAGGAGTAGCGTTTTAAAGCAGAATTTCAGCTAACCTCCTATTTATTGTTATTCCCCAACTGATAAATCAAACTTGTTGATATCCACCAAGGCAGGAAGAAGGAGTAGGGTTTTCAAGCAAAATTCTGTTATTCCCCCTTTGGGACCTTGTCCCTCAGGCCCCATTGGTCAAATCAAAATCCTGAATTTAAGGAATCATTTCCATCCCGGATGAATCAGGCCAAAGTTTATTGAAATCAAATAAGGCATGGAGGACGAGTAGCATTTTGAAAGCAAAATTTCAGCAAACTTCCCCCTTTGAGGCACTGTCCTTGGCCCCTAGCAGTCGAATCAAATATCTAAATTTAAGAAATAATTGCCTACCCTAACTGAATGTATGTTATGATAGACTTTCCCCGTTGATCCATCATGACTGTGTACCTTATGACTTTGCTGTTGCTCTGCTGGCAACAAATCATTCAGACTGTCACTGTAGTATGTACCATTCTGCAATTGAAGATGCTGTGGATAGTGTCGCAACTCTGCAACAACTGCCTGTAAATATGTAAAAAATGTATTCATATTTAACGGTGTATACACCATTCTGATCTCCCAGAGTCACTGCCGTTTGCTTCATGCTATCAGTACAGCAAAAAGCTTGACATAGGGGCAGAGAATGTGTAAACACACAGCTTCTAATTCATTAAAAATGGATATGTTGTCAATATCCAGGGAATTTCACTGCAAGTAACTGATTCCAAATCCGGGTATAAGTTTTTTCAGATGGAAAGACAATGTGAAAGCAAATAAGTCAAAGGTCAGTCAATAACTGTGATGCCATTGCTATCTAAAGTGTGAACACATAATCAACATAGATGAAGTCAGCCCTAAACTGGTTGCTCCACTATCCGTCTTGTGTTTTGGGGAACAAACTGATTTTTTTCTAAGCAACGCTGTTCAATCAATTTCTTGGATTCAAATGTGTTTAACTATTTGATAGTTTAAACCTGGACTTGGAACTTATTCCTTTGCTCTCTCATTTATAGCACACCTAGCAAAACTAGATCCCATAGTTCCTGGTCACAAAGGCAAGGAAATGCATGTAGTCTGAATCAACCTACGGATTTTTCTGCACAGACATGAATACTGCTATTTCTAATTCTTACAGAAAGTTACCTTGTTTGTACTAAGCACCGGGTTGTAGTCTAGGGCTCTCCTTTCAGGATGACTGATGGAGGAAGTCTGGGAACTGTGAAGGCTAGGTCTGGAAGACTGGGAATCATGCTGGCTGGAGTCTCGGTCTCTGGTGGTATACTCAATAGTATCCATCGAGACATCAGGATGAATACCTGAGAAAATGTCATGATGAATATCAGGATGAAGCTGTAGAGGGCCTCCAGGTTTTGTTTTAATTACTTTCATCGGTTGTGATTCATTATAAAAGTCTGTATCCAGCTCATCTTGTCTATACTGTGGAATTGTGATGAATTTCTTTGCTCTTTCTGAGTCATTTTGACACAAAATTTTCCTTGCATCTGGATTGAAGTTTTGAGTTTTCCCATTATTGGGTAATGGTGAGCATTTAGTCTCTGTAATAGCTAAGTCATTACACTTCAATAAGACATGTGCATCAGTGACAATGTTTGAAGAGATGTTATTTTTCAATGGCTTTGTAATATCACAGAGCCTTGGTTCTGATTGGATGATCTCTGATTGTCCAGCATTGTTAAGGTATCCTGAAAATAGATAAGAAGGAAAAAGAAATTGCTGAAGAGAATAAGTTTTTCTGTTATATATCAATGAAATGTATGGTGTAGAATATTAAGAAAAAGAAATTAAAACCCAACTTTTATTGTGGTAATTAGATAATGGTGCAACATGGAAATTATGTAATGGTAAAGTATATATCTAAAATCTAATTTCAAACAAAATATTACTATGACTCATAAAAATCTGTAGCGATTTGCATATAATTCACAGGTGTGATCTCTTGGTTTCTCTCACATGGGTAGGGAAAGACAGCTGGTGTGCACTATGACACTACACTCAATAGGGTAGACTCATCATTTTATGCAAAGTGATAGCATCATCAATTCTGATGCATATCTCATGGAACAATAGTGATGGTTCAATAAACTTAAAATTTGTTACTATTTTTATGTGAGAAAAATAATTTAGCAAGCCTTGTGCTGACATACCATTAAATGCTTAAATTTGGATTGTGATATCACTGTCCACAGAACAGGCCCATGTTAGATTCTATTATAATTCTACATGGACAGACTGTACATTGGACAGAACTGTACACATGATCTACACTTTACAATCTCTTTTTATTTTTAACTCCTATTATTGTTGATGGGAGAGTGGTGGGGACTAGGATGGGGATAGGGTTTTAAGGTAGGATTTGCAAAATCATGTTTAAACAAGAGGCCCAGTGGGCATGTATCTCAAGTATTCAATGCCATTCATACTGCAATCCAGGCTAAACATTTTTCATCTACCATAGCCTTCTGGACAGCTTCATAATTTATAGATTTTGAATCTTGGAACAGATTTTATACTACTCAAAGGTACAAGAAACAATTTTTATCCCATAACACCAAAAATCTAAAATTATTTTGCTTAATTAGAAGAACTTTTTTGAGCCTTCAAAATAAATAGATCCCATGACCTTCAATATGTGTGAAGGACATTTCTTTTTAAAAAAAACATCATTGGGTTTCATCCTAACAATCATATTATTGCAGACCAATCACAAATAGAGAAAGCAATTTCAGCTTGAAATGACATTTTAAAAGCAAGTATCCTGGCATGTCAATACTACCTTCACTTTCTACTTGGTTATTCTCAGGCGAAAATCTTTCCAGAAGGGACCTCTTTACTGAGCCTGTACATGTGCCACCAAGTTTCAAAAAGTTTGGTGTTGGAGTTGCAGATCTTGGAGCACTGAAAATAGCTTTTTCCATTGTACATACCATTGTATATCTAAATACAAACCTGCATCAGTTAAACTTCAAGTTGGAGATATAAATTAATTGTAAAATTATTAAAGATAGAGACATGAAAATTTACTTAAGTCAATTATACTGTACTGGTCACCTACCTATTCTTGTCAAGGATTTCCTGATATTTCTGCACACAAATTTAAAAAGAAAGGAAGGACATTGTTTCAAAAATATTTGAAAAAGTTATGTGGAAATTGATAAACATTTCCATGAGCATTGGTTAAAATTTAGTACTTTGCAAAAATAAGTTGATGACCAGTACATGTAACAGACAACAAAAGAAATTTTTCCTTCTACTTAAACAATAGGTGTAGAATGTTAGTTACAAAATACAGGGATATTCTCACAATGAGCTAGAATATTGACAACTTATTTTATTGCCATATCAGTCTAGACATCATATGTATCATGGGTTCCAGACATGAAAAAATAAAAAGGACTGTACAAGCAAAATGATGAGTCATGGACATCTATATAATGGTTAATTAGCAACATCTTTCTATAAAGTATTCATATAGAAAACAGTATGTGTACCTACTGGCAGTTTGACAACATATAAAATCCTTACTTTTGTCTCATTAATTTCTGTAACTCCTCTCGCGTCTTGTCCAATATGCCTGGTATATGAAAAAATATACTTATGTAACACAATTTAGATTTGGTGACCTTGATATTTTACATAGTTATTGTTAATTTTTGTTAAGTTTCTTGGAATTCTGTATATGACCACACATGAACTACTGAAACTGGAACAATTGTCATCTTGGGGCTCACTCTGTATACCAGCTGCTAGTTATCACTATAGCAACTATGACTGAATCTGATGAACTAAGTGATTGAAAAGGAAATGACATTTACAAAAGCAGTGGAGTAACAATATTTGGTCTACAGAGGAACAGACTTTTATTCCAATACACCAAACATTGAAGTACAATATAGCAATACAGACAAACTGATTCCAGAATATTGGTCACTGAAGGATTGTAATGCATCTGTGACGTGACGTTTGGCCATATGACACTAAGAACTTTGTTTATTTGTACTTTTCACCATTGCTTTTAATACATTAATGTAATATTTGTAAACAAATGCCTAGCATTTCCAAAAGAATTAAATATGTTAGTATTGTGCACTTGTGATGTTTGACCTTAACTATGTAACTTTTTTGTTTTTTTTTTAACTGCAGCTTGCATTAATGCCTACAGCACTGTAATGCCTCTGTGACCTTTGAACTACTGGTATAAAGGTTGTCAGAAAGGTTTTCTTCCTTCAATGCTCATAATACTCTGATGTAAATATTACACGTTAACAAAATTGTAACTGTTTCTATACTAGGCAAATGATACACTGGAGTTTTTAATTACTAATGTCAAGGGCTATAACTTTGGTAAAAACTGACAAAAATTATGATGTTTACAGAGACTCTAGAACATGTATGTATAACCTGTGTGATATGTTTCATTTCTGTGATAATTGGGCATTTCAGTATTGTGCTCTCTGACCTGAGGACCTTGAGAGTTTCTTCTTGTTGTGTTCATTGCATCAATGAATTCTCTGTTTTTATGTATGCAAAATACCTACTGCTTTCACAACTGTAATGCCCATTTGAATAACACCATTTGAAGCTTCATACGATGTAGCTTGCATCAAAGCTTTATACGTTTAACAATATGCAAAATACTATTTCAAAGATAATTAGCCATTTCAGTATTGCCTTTCACTCCTATTACTCCTCCTGTAGGAATGAATGGAATGCCCAAATTTGGTCTGAAACAATCTTATTTGAGGGGAGGGGGAATCAATTTGTATAAACGGTAGGTCTTGGTGGTTTAGGGCAAGGCCCATTAAGGGAAAAAGAACAATTCCTCAGCCCCTTCTGAAGGAATGATTTGATTTTGCCCAAATTTAGCTGGAACCATTCTTGAGTTAAGGGGAATCAGTTTTGTATGATTAGTGCTTCTTGGCCTTATGGAGCAAGACCTAATAGGGGAATATAAAAATCCTACTCCTACTGAAGGAATGTTTTGATATGATGCAAAAGTATTATTGAGTGAAAGGAAATCAATTTTGCATAAATATTCGGTCTTGATCCCTTTGAGAGGGAGGGGCAGAGACCAATATGGGAAATAGAATAAATTCTTTAAAATGCTACTCCTCCTGTAAGAATGATTGGATATTGCCCAAATTTGGTCTGAAGTATTCCTGGGTGATGGGGAATCGTTTCTGTATAAATATTAGATCCTGGCCCCCTGGGGTGGGAGGGTAGGGGCCAAGTTGGTGAAATGTAAGTTTTTAAAAATCCTTCTCCGATACAAGGATATTGTCCAAGTTTGGACTGAAGCAGTTTTTATGAATAGTGAATATTGACTTCTGTTGAACCAAATGACTGGGACCCAATAGGGAAATTATCTGTCACATTTGAAATATTTTGTTAAATGCTGAATAGCTGAGTCAGTCAGGTGAGTGATGCATGCCCTTTGGGCCTATTGTTTTAATTCTAATTTAACATAGGATAAGCCATTTTGACATTAATGAAAAATTGCCGTCAGCTCCCTGAATTTTCCCTGCATCTGCAATCTTTTTTAATCAGCCCCAAAGTTGATGCAATACAAGGCATTACGGGGACCAACATAAGAAACATGAGAAAAGTTCATCAACTACCATTTCTCATGAAATAGCTGTAACTTCAATTTAACATTATTATCTGTCAGCCATTTTCTTTTTTGATCAATTTCAAAATTGAATGTCTCAGAGAATTTCCTTGGACCAAGAGGAACCTGTAGCTTCATATGAAATTTGAGAAAGTTTCATTCAGTATCTTAAAGTATTAATGGCAACAAACTTTCTTTGTCAAAATCCAAGTTGTCCACCTGTAAGGCGTTCTGTTTCTCTGATCAGTTCTATGATCAAATGGGCACTTTTGTTGACCAAAAGGAACTATTCATCAGAAATTTGATGACATGATGATTGTGTGCTAAAAACAGTACAACAATAAAAGTACAAGAAGACATAGTGATGAAAACATATCTTACTTTGTCCAGGAAACACAAGCCTTGGTTTTACAGTATGCATAAGCTGCACTGCAATTTCCTCATATGGTGGAGTCTACAGAAAAGAATAGTTCACAATTAACTCGGATTACATTGGTGATTTAAAACAAATTTTAAGTGATTAATGTTGTTTTATAAGAGAGTACCTCTAAGTTACTGTATTTTGCTAGTTGTTCAGTTTTGGTTTTCTTTAAAGGTACAACTGACTGATATCTTGATGTTCAGACATAGGTTTTAAGAATCCTTTATAATGATTTTTTAAAGTATTTTCAACATCAAAATATCTCTTCTGTGGTCAGTTCCAAGAAACCAAATTGATGAAGCTACCCTTGGCCAATTCAAAATTGGATGATCTTAATGTAGCGCACATCTAATAAGAAAATGAAACTAGAATTATTTAGTTTTAATTGTTGCCTAGCAATGACACTGAGTGTGTAGGACTCAAACTGATCTTAACTGGAAGTTTAATACTGATATAGAATTACTGCTAATATACACCAAAAACAAAATATATGTGATATATTCATTACACTTTTCGAACTTTGTTTATTTGCACTGAAGTTGTGTAACTAATTGTGTGTTATGCGATAAATTAATCTTCTATGCCATTCTCATCACCTTTAGCTTCCTTCTACAGTATAGTGACGCTTCATTTTATTAGTCATTCTCAATTTGTTTCATTCAGACAATATTTTTACAAGTTAAGAAATAGAATGTTGGTACTGATCTCAAAGTAATCCTATAACTTGTTTCATTTTTGTTCTTTGAACCCACTGACCTCGAACTTTAATAAGGCAACTTCCTAGTCTAGTTCTGGCTAACTTTGCTATGTAATGTTATAAAAATCTACCAGTAAATATTCAAAATATTCAAATAATGCCTTTGTGACCTTGAATAGTGATCATGTGAAATTTCATTTGAATCTAGTCAATTTTGCTTCAAATTTCTTCACTATATATTAAACAGTAAAAATATTCAAACTTTGAAACAAAGTATTTATCAGACAAATATTCAAGATTCGACTTCCAATTTGTGATTTTGATCTGAAGTCAGGCAACTTCTATTTTGATTTTGATCAACTTTGTGTCATATTATCATTGCAAAATATTTATTGCTTAAATGTTCAAAATTTGACCTTGGCCTTTGACCTTGGCTTCTCTGGCAACTTCTCTAGATTCTGGTCAACTTTGCTTCATAATGTCATAAGAAAATAATTGCTAGTAAGATATTTCAAATTTGAACTTGACCTGTGATCTGATGGCCTTGCCCAAACTAAAGGAAACAAATTGTAAATGTTTGTTTCTATTTCCCCATTGGGCTCAACCCCTCTGCGCCAAGGGGGTCAGCCAAACCATTTATACAAAAGTCTCAATCACCCAAGCATACTTCAAACCAAATTGGAATAGTATCCTGCCATTCCTACAGAAATTTTGCTCTATTTTCCCTTACTGGGCCCCATCCCTCCTGCTCCAGGGGGTTGAGAAGAGTCCTCTTCTCCCAAAGATGCATCTGACTAAACTTGGTCAAAACTGCTCAGTTGTTCATGACTATAAAGCAGGAATGGGTAGGAAAAGTTAATGGATGGGTGATGAACACTACTGTATGTCATAATCTCACTTGGCCCATTGGGCCAGGTGAGCTGATGTAAAAAATGGTTTCCCTTCCCCTAGACAAAATCTGCTGTGTCATTTATGAATTGAAACAATTGATAGGAAAAGTTGATGGAAGAAAGACTCTGTGGTAAGCCATAAGCTCACCTGGCCCTGTTACTGCACTGTAACTGAATACCAGCATTAACTAAAAGAAAGATTCTTTATTCTTGTCATCACTATTATGCAGAGATCAATGACTATTACTACTAAAATCAAATAAGTAAGTTACTGCTGCATATTTTTTCATTTAAAGTGTATTGCCAGAGCATATCAATAGTTAATGTTACTGGTTTAGGACAATTTATTACTTCAGGAACACATACGTGTATAATGATTTATAAAAGAATTACCTCTGGCATTTTTTCTTCAGGGCCAACACTTCCTGTACTCTTACTGGAACTGAAGAGACAGAAAAGTACTTAAAGAATGACTTAAAGCTATCTTGGAAATTACTATGTTGTTGATTCACTAAATTTCATAATCTAAATCATATCAACATTGACTATCATCAAATGTATACGTTATCATTGAAAAACTATACCAAATAATATCATGTAATGCTGACACAATGAAAAACAAAAGCTTAGTTACTTGAAACAACAGAAACTTAAATGAAGGAATGTTTGTAATTTAAATCATGGTCCATGTGACTCTTACCTTGCTAAGTTGACCTGTTTGCTGATTGGGACTGTTACTGGAGTGATAGACATTTTAGCACTATTTCTACTGCAATCTCCAGAGCTCAGAATAGTACTCGACCTGATATGTTTCTGTTCAGAACTGTGTTTTAAAGCATGTGTCTGTTTAGAACTGGCACCCAATAGGTTATCTTCATTTATCCTCTGACTTACATTGTCTATAATAGCAGAACTGAAAAATGAACAAACAAAAAATCTACATCAACAGAAATAAAAATATTCTGTTCTTTAATATATTTTGACGGACTTTAATCATTTTTCCAAGAATTTGTAGATTTTTTTTTCACAGAAACAAAAGAAATAATTTCTATGCATACGCTATTGGAAAATAACATTATTATTCTCTGGAAAATTTATTACAGCTATTAGTTTGATAAGTTACCAAGGCAATTGAATTTATCAAGCATAACATGGGTCACATCACAATGATTTAGTGCCAGATAGTTCAATTTCTATAGCAAGAGGTGGATTGACAATAACAAGGCAGATCCTGAGCAGTTTTACCTAGATGGTTCAATGTCAGTGGCTAAAGATGGCCCATTCTCATCACTGTGGCTTATAATGTTCCTGAGGTCATCCTCTGTTTTCCTTTTTACAGAATCCGAAACATGAATGTCTGAAATATGAATCATGAAGAGTAGAACTGCAAACCTTTTTGGTCTTTTCAATGTGATATCATCCTGCTAGCTGATCATACAATACACGCTGCTCACTCCTTTGCCAATGGCTGTGAAAAAGGTAAAATTAAGCAGAGCCATGCTTCATACATAAAACCTCTAAATGATGAGTAATGTCCATGAAAAATGTAGAAAAAATAGACAATTATTTTTCAATTACTGTACAAAAGCTTTATTATCCCTGATACTCAAATATCTATCAAGTTGTTTTCAACTTTTCAGTCTTTTTACATTTTAAGTGCGGTTTTGAACTCAGTTTTGATTTACAAGATTTTGTTATGTATCATGCACTAGTACCTCAGAGGACATTGACACAGTGACATCTGATTAATTTCCATACATCTATCTAATTGCAAGAATTCATTTAAAGTGGACTGTGTTGCAAGCAAGTGAAAAATAGCATAAAAACATTCTTTTTCAGTTAACGTGACATATCATTTTGATCTTTAGACCAGGAAGCAATCTCAAGCAATTTGGTTTTTGTTTTTTTTTATGGGTTTATCACCCCATGAACAGCCAGGGCCATTTCTGTGGGTCTCCTTTTCGTAGCTGGTGGCTACCTTCACTGAACATCATATAAGAGGCATGTCACATTTCCAGAAAACACGCTGAGTATCATCAAAGAAAGAAACTAAATGAACCCAATGAAACTGAAGATGCGATTGCATAGAAATTAATTTTCTATTGTAAACTGGACATTTGACTTTCTGATAAGTTTTCAAAGCGTTCCTAATCAAACTTTTACACTGTCTGATGGGCTCAAATAAACTTATAAGTTATTGTATGGAAGTTTTGTTATGTGAAAGGAGGTTCAGTGGTAACATACTTGGCTTTCACAGACAATCAGATTTTTATTCCCTGATTAAACATAGATATAGTGTCAATTGCCTCATCATGCAAGATAATCTGATTTTCTTCAAAAGGCAAAATGGGCCTTTATGCACTTTGACCTGGATTAACACATAGTGAGTATAAATAAAGTTGATAGTTTTGAAGGCTTTATCTGTACCATGGCATCAATTATAGATGACCAAGACATACTCATCCTGACATGTCTTTTCAGTTGGTCAAACTTGAATGAAAGTTTTAAAGCTCACGTCACAAATTAATAATCTATAATTTTGCATTATTATGATCTTATTTTTTACATCTTTAATAAAATGAAAATCCTTTACCTCTGGATATTGTTTCTGACTTCCTTCCCTTATTAAATAGTCCAACTTTATTCTGTGAAATGTAAAATGTCTCACATAAATGTATTTTCTTTAAACATGTTAGAAATTTTCTCTAACATACTGACAAATATTTATTACCTGTTATTAAATACAGATAGAAGATATGATGAATGATCTATCAAAAAGAAAACAAAATCTGATAACCATCATTTATGAAAGACATGATGAAAATATCGAAAATACCTGGTCAAGAAGTTTTCCTTTTGTACATGTTACATCACATAATTTCTAACAATTTCATCATCTGGATGATCAAATCTCTTGTAATTTCATATTGTAATGTTTATTTCTAAAACTTACTGTTAATCTGCCCACTGTTATTAGACTTATTTTGTCCTGTCCCTTGTCAGCTGATTCATTCAAGTGTAAGGCCTGAACAAAATTATAACATAAACAGAAAGTTATGTTTATCAAACACAACAATGCTCCTTCAAGCCCTTATCTTATAAAATTAACATGCAAATAACTGGTTTTAACAAATTAATATTGATTGTCAATTGTTCTTTTACTTTTTGTTGTAATCTATTTCCATTTAATTTGATAAGACTATGATATAAAAACAGATTTTAGACTTGAAAACAGATGGCAAATATGATGAATTATTATGAAACTTATGTCTTACATCTCTGACATCATGAGCAGCCCTCAAATGCCTCGTTACTGCAGACTTTTCGTCTTGTACCTAAACATGTGAAATATATATATACCTATATTTTGATTTAACTTGTAAATATGTTCTGCATCATAAATACATATATATGTGAAAATGATGAAATTGGAAACATTTCTAATTGATAAAGCATAAATACTTTCATATCAGATGTTAAGTCACTCCACAATTAGTTTTGCTACCTCAGTTGGCCTACATGGTTTCCTACATGGAAACACAATATGAAGTCAAAAATAATGGCTTGGTCCATAACTTCATAATAGACAATCATGCCATACGGATGAATATTTTGGATTGCCTTATGAGGTTCCACGGCTGTTGTAATACCATGAGCACAGTAAATCCTCTGAATCAGGTTTCTAACAGACCTTTGATGTAAGGGATGGACACTTTTGTTTTGTTCTTTTCCTTGGTGTTATGTCTTTTAGTTTTTTTGCTTTTATCAGATTAATTGTTAACTTTCTGGATTGCCTAATCACAGCATCCACATGTTTTGATGGCACTACAAATGTAATTTTGTTCTTCCTTCTTGTCTTGTTCTTCTGTGACATTTGTTTCACATCTGTTGAGCAAGGTTTTTATAATGCTCAACTTCTGGTGCAAGGGGTGGTGTGAGCGGAAGTTGAGGTATCTGTCTGTGTGTGTCTTTCTCCTATAGACCAATACTTTGATAGTAACGTCATCTTTCTTTACCAGGAGGGTGTCAAAGAATGAATTAATGCCATTGATTTCTTCCTCACATATGAATTTGATGCTCTTGGTGGTATCTATGGTATTGATATGCTCAGTCAAACCTTTATGTGACCCCTATTGAATAGAAGATCTTATAACACAAGTTGTGTTATTAGAAGTTCTATTCTATTGACATTACCAACCTGAAGAAAATGTTCTGATACGTAAGTGTTTCCAATTTTATTATTTTCCTATGTATGTATCGGACACTGCTAATTCTAACTTTCTAATATAAATCTTGTATGTGATGGAATAAATGTGGTGATCTTACCTAATCATGTAAATAGTTTTGCTTAAATTAAAAATTGTATCTTTTACTAAACAAAACTGCTAATGACATCTTACTTTAGATGCAACCTTTGACCTTTTAGGTCTTCTTTTGCACCTCCTCTTCCTCCTAGTTCGAGTATGTACTTGACAAGCCTTACTATGGCTGTCATCGCTGTCACTCATGCTGCTGGAGAAACTATCATTCTGAGTGTGATTAGTGCTTTGTAAGTCTTCAGATGGAGACACTTTCTTGTCTTTGCCTACTAGCAAGGCCCCTCCACCACAAGGGTCAGAAAGCCTTGCTCGAAAAACTGAAATGAAAAATGGTTTTTATTTTAAATCAATGTCTTTCATATTAAATTTTGGGAAAAACATGAAATTGTAAGAGTCAGTGTTATTGAAATATGAAAATGATATGAATTCTTTCTTCAAAAATGATAAAGAGTCAAAATCAGGAAATAACATATACATCTTAACATTCCTATTTTCATCTCCAACTATATTGTTATACGAACAGTAAAATGTTAACCATTATGAAAACTACTATATACATGCTTACAAAAATCAAAGAAAAATATTTGTACCTTTCAAAATTGAGTTTCTTATTTTCTCTTGCTGCTTCTCAGCTTCAAGTTCTAGGTTTGCTATCTTTGATTTTTTGCTCTTTCTTCCCATGAACTTTCACTTACCACTGTAAATGGAAATGTAACATAATTTTCAAAAGCAGGACTCTATCCCAACATGTAGTTCTGTTTAAAGACAAACTTGTTTGAATAAGCCTAAAACACTTTTATTTTGAAAGTCAAAAGACGTTAAACATCTAAAAATAGAAGATTTTACTAACATAAATGTATTTAAAATAGTCATGGACATATATATAAGTTTGTTATACATGCTAATAAATAACAGACTATCAAGTATACACATACATGGTTTGATGGTAATAAACTTAACTTAATCTACAGTACCAGGACCTGATAGTTTATTGTCTTTGTGAATATGAACCTATCCTTGTTTTTATGTGAGTTTGTCATCTGCAGCAGTGTGTAATGCATCAAGCTTTGTTTGCTCTGTCTTTTATAATTCTATCTTATCAGTTTTTATTACACAGCTTTCATGTGCTTCATAGTTTTTTGTCATAGACTTGTGATTCATTAATTTTTACTTTACTAATAAGCTTTTATGTTAAACCTACTGCTCTGCTTTGCAAGTATGTGTACTAAACTTATAATTCTACACGAACTTATGAAGCATATTATGTCTTAAATCAATCTCTTTCTCGTGATAATTTCAATCTATCTCGTGATGATTTTTTTAAATAATTGTTTAAATTCGTGTTTATTTATGTTTATCGGAATAATACATTTTAAAAAGTTAATATTCGTACGTTCTTGAATCATTCCATAAGTAGTACATATCAGTTTGGTTAAGAACATGTCCCAATTTGACTCATGAAAGAAATATGGAAAATTGTGGCTGTAACTGGTTACCTTTAAACAGGATTTGTTTTACTAGCGTGTTGAACCTTGCAGCAGTCACAGACTTCGAGTTATACCAGAAAACTTTTATATAAGCAGTAAGACATACCTTTACACTATCAACATAGTGTTTTTCTGGTTCACTTAGTTTAGCTTATGTCACCGAGACTACCATTTCACTTCCCGACTAGACTGAAATGAATCATATCTCCCGCTCATGGCCATTTAAAGTGCGAAAACAAGGCTGATTATTTTTCGCCGATGCATTATATATGAACTTATATTGGTGTGCGAAGTTAAGATTGATCACATTAGCAACAATGTTTGATGAAGAATTTTATCGGAAGTAAGCTGTGCGTAGAAGATAAGATGTCATTTACGAAAATAAGCTTTAATGGAAATGAAAAAATATGCCCTCTTTGCGCATGCGTGTCGCCGTGGAAACTAGACTCGGAAGTGAGCATATGGAAATGAACGATATAGACGTTATAAACACAAGATAAACACAGTGTTGTAGGTGTGAACACGAAATTACTGTGACCATGGCACACACCGTCATATCTCCTTTATATCCTCCACAGATAGACACAACACGGACTCCATATGCATTTGGTGATAGAGCTTTACCGAGACTCGTAAGTTGGCAAAGCGAAAGTTGTTTACATGAACAGATGAAAATCATGTCTCATGAGTGTGAACATGTTGAATAACTTGTAACTGTACTGTATTAGGACTTTTGAGAAGACATGTGGTTCTATAAGAATTAGACCCAGGGAATTTACACCTGAAAGGATTACGCTGATATTAATCTCAGAGGAGTTGTAAATATCCCCATGTTTAAGTACCTTTTTTGTATAAAAATCTGATATAATCTACTAACATTAGAGACCACAATGTATGTTTTGGCCTTTCTCATTTCCCCTTTTTCTTTTTCTTTTTCAGAACCGCGAATTAAATGACACCAACTTACTTACAAGACAGAGGGCTGTTATGTCACTATGTGATTTTTTACATGACCCCGAACACATTGCAGAAGCACTCCGATGTGGTAAGCTTTAGCTAATTAATTTGAGTAATCTAATCAGTAAATTAGATAGATGATAGATGTCACTTTATTGATATTGTCAGTCCTAATTCTTCCATATAGTGACAGATAATTTTGACTTTGGAAAATATTGTATTTTGTCGATCTGAGCACCCAAATACTAAAGATAATTTTTTCTCTCATTTTGCTGTATCCTGTACATAATACTCATCTTATGGCAAGACACCTGCATGTAGAAATCAGTTATCTATTTACTATATTGTTTTTATTCCACAAAAGACCTGTTGTGTAACTGATTTATGTTTAGAGATTTACATTTGTAAAGATTTTGTTTGTTATTTAATAAAGGGATTGCCGAGAGTTTGAAAAAGCTACTAACAGATGAGGATATCACTGTGAGACAAAAGGCTACAGAATCTCTTTATGTGATTGGTGGTAAGTTGCTGATTACAAAAATGCAAACACAGGTGATAGAGCAATAAGTGATCAAGCAATAAAGCAAATTAAATGAACAGGACATTAGGTATGCATGATTGTAAATTTTTTCTGTATATGTATATATATAATTACTTGTATGTAATCTGTAAAAAATATTCATGTGAAATCAAAATATTTTTGTTAATTGTCGTTGATTTTCCTTTTTATCAGGTCATGCCATTGGACGAGATGCCTTTCTTGATCATGAAATTATTATCCCTATATCAAAGTTGTTTGATGATAAAGAAGATGTAGCAAGAAAAAATGCACATTTGGCCATTCAAATTATATCAGAAACACCCCCAGGTATGTTATGGCATCAAAGTAAACTACATATCATTATCATATATGTCACCAAGAGGCATTTTAGTGCTATATTGACGACATTATAATATGTCAACTACAAAAACAGTATTATCTATAACATCATCAAACACAACCACATACAGCATAATATACAATCAAGTACAATATTATCTATAATGTCATAATACACAGTTAAAGAAATATTATCTATGACATAATACACAATCTAGTACAGTATTGTCTATGACATCATAATACACAATCTAGCACAGTTTTATATATGGCATCATAATACACAATCTAGCACCGTATTATATATAGCATCATAATACACAATCTAGCACAGTATTATCTATGACATCATAATACACAATCTAGCACAGTATTATATATGGCATAATATACAATAAAGTACAACATTATCTATAATGTCATAATACACAGTTAAAGAAATATTATCGATGACATAATACACAATCTAGCACAGTATTATCTATGACATCATAATACACAATCTAGCACCGTATTATATATGGCATCATAATACACAATCTAGCACAGTATTATATATGGCATCATAATACACAATCTAGCACAGTATTATATATGGCATCATAATACACAATCTAACACAGTATTATCTATGACATCATAATACACAATCTAGCACAGTATTATATATGGCATCATAATACACAATCTAGCACAGTATTATCTATGATATCCTAAAACACAATCTAGCACAGTATTATCTATGACATAATATACAATCTAGCACAGTATTATCTATGACATAATATACAATCAAGTATAATATTATCAATGACACAATAATATACAATAAAGTACAGTATTATCTTTCATATCATAATGATCAAATACTACACTATCTACGACATCATAATACAAAATCAAGAGCAGATGATTTTTCCAATAACTTCACATAAGGTTTCCTATAGTTACTTGTAGATTGTAACTATTCAATATCTTTTCATACAGAATATGAAATATCATTTGATAAATAAAGAGATATATCCATCTATTCAAAGTAGTATGAACAAAATGGTAACTGAAACCACATTTAAGATGAAAAGTATATAGCAAAGTATATTCATCAGCTGAATGCCTTTTTGTAAATTCACAGGAGCAGAAGGAATAGTGACAGCCAAATTAATTCCAATTTTAGTGAAGAAATTATCTCTTGAATTAGAACAGATTAAGGTGAGTGGAGTTGATGCATAAAGATGCTTGCCAGTTGGAGCCATGTATCCATTTCTGTAAATCTAAGCTTTAAGACATTTGTCAGTCTAAATGAAACAAATTTATTAAACATTATCAATATATCATTTATTTTCATCTGAATTCATAGAGAGTATGTGTGAATAACAATTTTTATATGTCATTTTTACAGGTTTGTATACTAGACACTTTGCACTACTGTATGAGGGTGGATACAGAAGAAGCGCTGAAGGCCAATGCTATGGAAACATTCACAAAGCTTGCTGACCACCACTCACCAGTAATCCGAGCCAAAGCTGCCAGAGACATTATGGATCTGAGGTAATGAATCTTCTTCTTTAAATTAATCTTAGACTGAAGACTGGAGTGAAGTGCAAACATAGAACAATAATTGAATTAAATTTGTTAGAAAATTACATAATCTATGTTTTTTCTAAAAGCATATTTGTTTTTTTATTGCTCACTGGGTCGGAGGGAGTGGAGGGCTCAATAGGGGAAATAGAGTATGGGCAGTTCTTTAAAACCTACTCCTGCAGTAGGAATGATTGTTAAAACATTGAATCCTGGCCCCCTGGGGCGAGAGGGGTGGGACATAATTCGAGAAATTTTAAGTTCTTAAAATTTTTTTTCTGTACAAGGTTATTGTCCAAGTTTGGACTGAAGAAATTTTTATCAATAGTGAATCTAAGTTCTGTTTGACCACAAGGCCAGAACCCAATAGGGAACAATGTCAGAAAATATGTGACATATTGAATATTTGTTAAGTAACTGAATAGCTGAATTAGCTATGTGAGGGATTTATGCTTCTTGGGCCTCTTATTTATTGTCATATGTAGCAAATGAATCCAGTCAACTATACAGTATAATGTATGAAAGTTTCACTTGTTTTTCAGTGTGCCTTTGGATGGGAAGAACAAAGCAGTGGAAGTGAACTCTGTCCAGGCTCTGGTCAAACTTTTAGCTGACCCAATTGCAGATGTACGTGCTAATGCTGCTGGTGCCCTGATGACGTAAGTTTGTGTGTATTTCTTGTATTGTAATAACAGCTATTATTCAACAATTTTTGTATAATATACATGCAGATTGAATTAAAATATTGTTTAACTGAGATTTTAATCATATTCATATTTTTATTTACCAATATATTTGTATCTCTTATTCATGATTAAATAGAAATAATGTCCTTTTTCCTTCAGTATAACTATAACCACAAAAGGGAAGTACACAGCAATCAATGATGCTAAGGCAATAGAACCTCTAGTAAAATTGGTGGATGATGATACCAGCGAGGTGCGACTTAACGCTTTAAAGGTCAGCTTACACCTTCTTTGCCTTTTATTTTTGTTAAAAGAGACAATTTTTAACATACGGAGTATTTCTGATTAAGTGTGTCTATTTCCATTATGAAGTATTCACAACCACTCTTCACTTAGCGTAAAATCACATGACAAAATACATCATCTGTTTTACATAGAGATAAGAGAGGAGATTTAAATCTTATCTTCATATGAATATGAGTTGTGATAGCAATGTCTTACATTTAAGGTTTAGGTCATCTAAAGACATTGTTAGGACACATCATGGCCAATTAATAATTCAATATATGAATACTTATCAAAAGTCCATTATATATTAATGGTAACCCTTTTACATTGTCAGATGGTATTTTGATAATTTTTGTTTACTTGTGCAGGCTCTCACCTGTTTGTCTGAAGCTCCTGAGGGGAGGAAGGTTTTACTGAATCATGTTGAAAAGGTAAATGAGATTCAAGTGGAAGTTTCATTACAAAGCATTCACTTTTGTTTACCGAAATTTAAAAAAAAATAAGAAATATGCTATTTCAGATATGAAAGTTCATTATTTATGATAATTTATTAAAACATAAATGTATTCATCACTTTTAGTAATTCATTATGAGGACCAAGTTGAAGATATTGGTTGTGCAGCATTTACACTACATTTTTTTCTACTGATCAGATCTGTGTCATCAAAATCAATTTCTATCTTTATACATATTACATATGAAGAGTTAGAAACTTGAACACATTTTTGGTTAATCTTACTCTGGATTGGCACCAATATTTTGACTTGAATTTTTATTGTTATTTTACAGATCAAAGCTAGAATGTTGGACCCCATACCTGCTGTCGTCAAGGCAGCCACTATTGCTGTCAAGGTCATCACTTGGAAACCATGAAAACAAACCAGTCATCACAAAATCAGGAACTACAAATGATTTGTACTAATGTCTACTTGTACACCACTAGTGGTAAATTAGATAAAGGATGGATTATGTCTTTTGATCCTTGGAAAAACCAGAAATGTTGTACCAAAGTCTCTACAAACCACACCTATTCTATTTGGAGGAAATATTGTGTCAAACTATCTGTGATAAAACTCTGAACTTCTGATTAAACAAGAAGTCTTGCTTTAGAGTAACAACTTAAGGACTGAGCCATTGCTTAAATCTCCGTTGATATTCTTTTTCATAAAAAAAATGTCTTATTTATGAAGTGTTTGATGGATATGTAAATTCATCTTGTATCTCAATTCAAGTATGTTCAAACAATTATGTAAATGAAGTATGATGTCATCATTTGTATATATCATGTAAAATACTATCAATACAAACATATAAATATACCAATATCGTGTGGATTATCATTTCAATTGAGATACTGTTTGTATTATTCCTTGAAGGGGTTTCTTTTTATGAGCCATTAGCATTTTGGTATCTTCTAAAGAATTTAAAGAAATGGATAAAATTATTAAAATCAGTGAATACAGACATAAGTGTACAAATATCTGTATTCATCATGTTACTAAAAAATGGATATGTTTGTCACATACTGCCAAGTTATCGATGTTATAACACCTATTACATCCATTTTTGTTATTACCATTGTGGTAACATAACTTCATGATATCATATGCATTGTGATGTTACAAAAAATTGATATAGAACAAGAAAATTGCTTTTGTGATAAATAGAACCTTACATTAATTTCCATTTCAAATGAGATTTATGAAGCTCTTCACAAAGATAGTCCATTCTTGATCAAAAATTACAATGACAAGGTATTTTTTCAGTTGTTTTTGTGGTCTTTATAGACATGTCTGGGATCCAAATTGCAGCAAGGACTACACATGGACACAATGTGACTTTCACTTTCTGTTCATAAGACTATTCAAAGCAATTCACAAAATGGCAACCATCTTGAATGTCACATGAGTTCTAATTTTCTTCATGACCAATGGGCCATGCCCTTTGTCCAAAAATTTTAATTTCATACATTATTCAATTATGTTACACAACATGATTTAGGGATATCATCAACTAAGTTTATTAATAAGATAATTTATTCACAATACTAATGTTCCACCTGTCTGACTATGCATTGTTTATGTCATATAACTGTATTCTCTACACTGTATTGTTTATGAGAATAAAACATTAGTTACTGATAATTGTTTCACGATGACTGCCATAGTGGTTATCCTAAACGTCTCATTGGTACAAGTTTTGTTCAGGACCAACTATTGCCCACATATTACCACTGGATCCTGTTGCTGAAGTAATATTTGAGAGTAATCATTATCAAACTAGTTATTGATATACACAGTGTGGTAATCAAACATCTGTTAAATACTCTTTTTTAAATTTTTTTTTTTTTAATTTTTGGAAAATTTAAACTGGCCCTGTGTTTATTTGAATTTTTTTTTGCAAGAGTAAAAACAAATTACACCAGTATGTTAACATTGCTAGAATAGGTATGAAAAGATAAAAATGAAATTAACAAGAGACTCTAGGGTCTAGACATCATCTGACTACAGTTAAAAGACTTACAGCAAGGATTATGCTTTGGCATTCACACCACTTTTAGCAAAATCCTGCTAAAATCACATGGCAGTTGTGACCAGTATTGAATCAGTAGTCATTACATTGTGGTCATATATCAGTTAGCAACTTAGAGATTTATGGGAAATTGTCTCAACCACTTTTTTATTTACAAACATTTCAATCTGTAGTAAGCTATTTCAATATGTTTAGAATCCATGTGAGATTCCGAAGGATTCACTATTTCATCAAAACAATGGTGAACACTATCAAATTATATTATTTATGAATAAATAAGAACATCTGCAAATTATGATCGCAAATATGTATTAAAATATTGCAAATAAAGAAAAGTTAAACAATTTCAAAAATGAAAAATGTGAAAATTTTAGACACACTTTTAGGTATGACAATATTTAATGGCAATGCACTTACTTTAGGTTTTCGTACAACAAAGTTTCTATATATTAATTGGCCCATTATGTAGAGCCTATGGCAAAAGATTTAGAAAATCGAGAACTGGTGTAATTAGCTTTTAAAGGGGTTTAAAAGGAGTGGCATTTTATTGGTAATTATTAGATAAAAGGAAATACAGCAGGAAGGAATGAAATTTTCAAACGAAAGGAAGTTTAAAAAGGAAGAATATAATTGTTAGATAAACAAATATACAACAGGGAACAAGGAAATAGCAAAAATAAACATAGATACAACAGAAAACAAACCAATTATGAAATATAACGGGAAAACAAATACCTATGGAAAAAGGAAATTGGAATTTGTATTTTGTATTAATCCAAGTGCAAATTATTTTTCTGCTATTGGTATGTCACTTCACACATGTTATGTGAATGTTATTTCCATTGTCGAATAACAGATGCAAGGGAGTTAACTGTGTCGTATTTGATTGAACATTACACAACCGATATATATTGCGCCATATTTAGTTGATGGTATCAATCCTTATTTTGCGAAGGTTGATACCAGTAAACATATAGCAGGATATTATGGGGTGGTCCGTTGTTAAATTGAGTGCGATGTTTCTTTAACTTTGTATCTGAACTTTTAATCGTCCAACATAACATATAAAATTATTCAAAGCTTACGCTGGAACACATTTTTATGAAGTGGTGTTCGACTTACATTCTGTGCGATTAAAAAATATCACCTATATCGTCTGATAAGGATTCGTTCATCGGTTTTCCTGTAAGTAGTCCGTAAGAATTATACTGTCCTCATTGCATGATTCGGAAGAGGCGACGAAATTTGGGATATGATATTTTCTCTTCTTTCTTAGCATTAATTTTTTCAAGTTTTTGAAAGGGACTGTGATGGCTCAGTTGGTCGAGCGTCACCTCAAGTGAAGATCCTAGGTCCGTGGTTCGATTCTCCCTGCCCGTGGTGATTTATGTTTATCAGAATGACGCGGTCTGCTGTCATACTGTGCTCTTTGGGAAGACACGTATTCTTGTTGCTCTGACATGCGACTGGCCTTTGGCATGTTGGTCAGTGAGGTACCTAGAAACTACCTTAGCAGTATTCTTCAGTATGACAGCAGTGTCGACTCCAGTTCCGCGGTACTCACGGAGGCTTAGCGCAGCCTCCCACAAACGCACGCACAGTCAACAAAGACTCACTTAGCAGACATAGAAGAGACCATCCCTAATAACCATAATTGTTGATATGACGTTAATTAACATTAAGCCAAACAAGTTTTCCATTTCCATGTACCACTAAATTCTAATCGCAGATTTACCTCTCGTTTCACCTGTTTTTGTCACAAAAGAAAAATATATTGTGTCTGTCGTTTGTGTATTCTCTAACCAAGAAAAGTGAGTTTTTGGTCAATGTTTCATCGATCGTATACGTGTAGTTTGACCATCATTTACATCTGAAGTTGTTTACTGAAAGTTCCTGAAGTCTCGACGGTTTGTGTCACTCTTTAATCTATTTCTCTCAGGGTATGTAACTACACCAGCGCGAATCTACACAAGGTAAGTGATATTACGATCGATAGCAAAATGAATAATGATATGTATTTCCGAGCTGATTTACGATAACATTTAGTAAAATTTAATTATGGATTGATATTTTTTTAAAATCTTGATACATTATTGTTATTGAAATATAAGGAATGTATGTTAAAAGTTATCCTCACTGTGTTTCCGTAATTTGTGGAAATTACTAAATAACAGTTTTAAAGGTAGCGACACATGTGTGGTGTCAACGATAATCAATGTAAAGCTTATCGAAACAACAATGATTAAAATGTTGGCTACTCTTAAATATTTTGGTTCTTATTCTTAACCATGTGGTTCACTTTTTTATTAGGTATCAACATCTTCAGGGGTTTTAACGGGTGGTCTCATAACATGTTACGCTTGATTAAGAGAAAAGTTTCCGCCCAACATTTACACCTATTGATAGCTCCTGTTACCACTCATCCTTTCTCCATTTCTGTCACTCTAATGTATATTAGGCGTCGCATAGGATGTAAGAAGAAGAGTTTTTCCTCGCGAGTGTTTCAAAGAAATATTTCTTGATAATATGTTTGATGGTTTTGTTTCATTTTATCACCATTTATACGCCTTTTGAAAACGTACATTAATTGGAGGGTAAAAGCTGTGTTTTGTCTTTCCCGAATACATAGTCATATATACTTGCACCTTTTCCAGTAGTCGGTACAACGTTATTACTGGTATTCAGGTTTAACTGCGGTTTTGCTATTATGTGGTTTATTTTTTAAGGTATGGTTAATAATGTAGATGCATAGTTTTTGCACAATTCTGTAGTTTTTTCCATCCTCCTAGTTGTAACCACTACTTACTTGTTAGGGAATCTGCTGATTTCTTTGAGCGCTCGTAGCACGAAGATTAGGTACAAGATAGTGCAAAAGATACACCAGTGAAAATCACATTGTAATTCAAAATTAGAACTGGATGCAGTAGAGCCAAATAATGAATTAAACTATATCATACAGCTGTTTCGTCTTTCGAGGACTCATCAGTGATGCTTAGGCCCTAAATTTTGAAACCCAAGAGACGACTGAGGAAAATCGAAATCGGCCAAAAGAAATGTAAAAATCTAGATGTGGATGTTCACTAGACTCACAATTAAATAAATCTAGTAACTTTCATATGTCTTACAATTTCAGAAATATAGGTCAAGTATATATGTGTGAAAACGTGGAGGTTATGGCAAACCTCGGGGATTTATAGTCCATCTCCAGTGTCTATAGTTTGTACCTCCAAGAATTGTACAAGATACTTGTTTAAGATATACCACGTGAATCTCATTATAGATTTATTTAAATGTTCACAATAAAATGATTAAAGAAAAAGGGGTATATCCCTAGTCACTTGCCTGTTATTTACTTTAAGACTATTGGTATATGATGTATTGGCAATTGATAATAAACCATATCATTGATTTGTATATATATGACGCCTCTGATCGGTTTTTTACTATTCCTCTTCGTAAGCTATATACCCTTTCATGACACTTCACTTTGATATCATCAAAAAAAAAAAAAAAACCATGGCATTGGAACCCGACGAAAATGCAAGATTTTATAGTATTTTGTTACACTCCGTACGCGATCCTTTCCGTAGTTATGCTAATTCACATCTTATCATTGTTATATAAATTCTTCATTGGCACCAATTCGAAATAATATGTAATTGATACCAGTCCTCGGCACTTTGTAAACTAGTTAAATTGAAAGAAATCTAGAATTAATCGTAACATGAAGCGCCATAATATTTAGAATTCCGTGTTACAACGTCGTCGAACTTTTTCTCGTAGCTGCCTTTATTTTAGTGAAGCAACATCCCGCTACATAAACTATGTAATGGACACGGTGTACTTATACCGAACGGAACCGTAAAAATAGATTATCGCGAAATGTAATTTTGAAACAATATCTTAAATGTTTATAAAAATCATGTAGATGATCGCGACTTATCTTTATTTTGTGGTGTAAGTTTAATTCTGTTTACATGTTGATATTTATTCAGGTGTCTTTTGTAGAATCCCCATAACAAAGAGGCGTATAAAGATAGAGAATATAATTAATTTGATTCAAATAATTGACTGACCATAACAGACTAAGAATTAAGACAGAACATTTTATCTATCAACAAAGCCAACAATGGAGTAAATGTAGAAATATAAATGGAATACATACGTAGCTATGGAAGAACAATGGACATAATCACCAGCATAAATGTAAACTTATAAAGATAGCGTCGAAAAGTAATCTGTTTGAGGTAAACACTCGTCAATGTATACTCAATATCAACCCTATGATTGTACTGGAACAATTTTGGGACTTTCATCATTTGTAAAACTATTGTTATCCATACTGTTACTACTTATCGAATCAGATTTCTGATCTGTTTCTGGCACATTAACGAATCCAGTTGTCTCCCTTTGGAGACTTTCTGTCTGTGGTACATGTCTACTTGCTTGTTTTGTCGTTGTGGGTGAGGAAGTGGAAGAGGGCGGTTTACTGGATTGCGCTGTCGTGATCCTGTTTCCTGAGTGAACTTTTGTGGAGGAAGACACTGAACTGAGAACACTTTCTACTTCTTTCACATATTCCTGCACTTTTCCGTAAAACTGGAAACGTTCTCCGTGACATTTTCCAAGCTTGCGCAATCTGCTTAAGGCAAACATTCTCCGCCTAGTAATGGAATCAACCCATGTCTCAAACTGTGCTTTATCTTTTTCGATTTTCTCCTTTTTCTGTTCGATCATATATTCAAAGGCCTTCTTTTCTTCCTCTGTTATCAACAACTCTGGATCGTACATGTCCAAGTCGTCATCTGTGATTGGTTCAAAATCAACAATACCGTTGGATTTTGCGGACTTGTTTACTATCACGTTTCCGATAATAGCTGGTTTAATCTCCTTCGTTTCAGACGTGACATTGTTACTTTCATGTGATTGCTGTTCTGCTTTCTCCTGTACAAGCGATGGTTCTTTGATATCATTATTGCTATGTTCATTCTTACCACTTTCGTTATTGGCAGTCTCGCTGACAGATTGTGATGTTTCATCCTCATTGTTAGTCGAGTTTGATGGTTTTTCTGTTGTTTCCTTTAACGCTGTTTTGCCGTTTTTGGTATCCTCTGTCGTATTATTTACACTTCCTTCAGTCTTATTGTCATCATTTCTCGGACTTGTAATCCAGGGCTCCGTTACAGATTTATTTCTTGACAGTTTTTCGTCAAGAACTGTATCGCTTGCAGACGTCATTCTGGTAATATCAAGCCAACCTCTGTTGATGTAGTTGTCCTCACTGCATAATCAACACCATCCTGCAAAGACATAAACTGGATTAATTTTCTCATATTGCAAAACAAACGTTTCACTTCCGGAGTTCCCTTAGTTCACAGCGTCATCCCCTACTGAGAGCTTAATGGTTTCCCTATAACATCCATTGTTCAGTATGAACGGAAAGTATCTGATTGTGGCGTTGTAATCTCGTGTAATCTCGTTTACCAGGGATTATAGTAGTTAAGATCCCTGCGGGAATTTCAAAGTCATTAGCAGGTAGAAGTCAATATTCTTGTTAGCTTAATGTAAAGTGAAATAAGATTAGAAATAATGTTTGATCTTCTGATGTCAAATATTGTGCATTTGTAACATGTAAGCTACACTTAGTTATGCCTTTTTATCTTACCATATTTAATGAAACAAATTCAATGGTCAGGTTTTTACATTGCATTAAGCTCAACTAGTCTGCGTCATACAAAACAAATGTAAGATATATATTAAGCGAGAATCACGCTAACGCCTCATCAAAGCCAGTTTCCAGAAACATTCATTAACTGAGAGTCTTATGCAAACAAAATGGACTGAACAGACGGATAATGCGCATGTGCTGATTTCCTTACGGAATTGTTCATATAGAAAATTATTCATTTGTATCCGCCGAGTGTGTTTATTGAACAATGAACCTCGGGTTCGTTATTCCTGTTTACGTCGTAGATACTCTGAAAAAATGTCTAGATGATATTTCATAATAATTGAAATACTTACTGAATCATCTAAAACACGAAAAAAGATAACACCTATTGTCATGTGTGTCATTGTTTCTGTAAAGCTACGCAATCCACTAAATTGTGCATCAAGTAGGAACAAGCATTCTTCATTCCAAACATCAAGCATTTGAACAAAATGGCTTTGTAGATCAAGTGTTGTGCATATCAAAGATAGCAGTAAAGCTTCACTCTTTTTATGTTAGGGAGGAAGTATGTGGGTGAGGACGAGGGTGTATCTATGTGTTCGTCTGTGGATGTATGTGAGTGTATGTGTGTGGGTGTCTGTGGGTGTCTTTGGGTGTGTTATTCTCGGTGTTAGTTAATTGCATTTTTCATAACTAAATACCTTTTTGTGATTTTCTGTTACTTTTCATAGCAGATATTTATTCAGAAACATTTCTATCTCACCGTCATTTCAGCACACGCACAAAACATGCACACAAAAGAACTCAAAGTTATGAATGAGACTATAACAAGTAACACGACGGGATTGGCCAAAACTTACTATGCGAAATCTGTCATTTATTTCAAAATCATTTCTCCGGAACTTAAACATCGGATTCCACTTCGAAGACTATAGTAACCATCCCGCACTCATTGCTTATTCATGAGTGTGTTTGTGATGAAGTATATAACTAGTTGCCTAGAGCAAAATGTCTCATTAAAATAAAGTTCGGTTGACTGTGTGTTTAGCATTGTGTATATAATGAATTTACGTTAGAACAGGAGACATATCATTGGCGATGATATCCTGGAATTACTTTAATTTATCGAAAAATTACCACGAAAGTACCTTCATAGATTATTTGAAATAGAATACCGGGAAATTAGATTCAAATTTTACACAATTACAAAAATAAATAATCGTTAAATTTTAATTCCACTTATTTAAATACTTATGTATTAAATAATCGATCAGAAATGATAAATGATAATAATGAATTCAGATATATGCCAATAATTTGATGATGAAAAGGTTGGTCGATATATCTATAACAGAACATGTCATAAATGGTACACAATATGTAAATATTGGACAAAGTTAGATTATGGAATATTGAATTTTACCAAAAGGAGAGCCAGAGAAGACACCTGACATGACAAAGAGTATCGACTAAGTAGAACTTTGCATCACGTGATTCAAGGCAGCCAAGTCTATAATTTTATTTGTTCTGTGAGAAATGCATTCAGTACCAATACACGCAATGTGTTTATTTTGTGCAGAGGATCAAACAATGGCGACCAGATAATGCACTAAGAAAGGAAGAGGATATAGATCCTGAATTCGACTGACTCCACATAGGAAGTTGAAACCCTGTAGCGATATAATTTCTTTGAGAAGACAAAGGGAAGGACATTGGTAGGTGGTAAAGTGGTCATGGTGGCCTTTCTTTTTAATGGATATTAGAGTAGTACACTGTTATAGATAAATTTGATTCATGTATGAAGGATGACAGAGAAAAAAAAATGTTTGATATCACCTTTAAAACCTTATAGAAGTTTAGTGGGCATTAGTTATCTCCCTCCCCCGCAAAGAAAGAAAAGAGAATATACTTACTGTTTTGGTTGTAAAAAATATAAACCTACTACTGAAATAGGAATCCTTGACAATGTCAACGTTCGCCTTCCTTATTAATACCAGTGAGGATTTGACTACTTGTATATGTCAATAAACAGTCTAAGTAAACATGCAAGATCACTTCAGACACAATAAATAAAGGATAAAGCCCACAAACATGTATACATTTCTTTATCCAGCTACACACTAGTATCAGCACGGTCAGCTTATCATTGGAAGGTTTGACACTGCAAAAATACATTGTGGTCAAATGTATTGATCATTTAAAGGATCATATCGATAGAACATTAAAAACCCGAACTTCCTGTGCAGAAATAATCTTTTAAAATGTTATGCCACTTTGAACAAATACGCTTATTAAAGAAATACTTATAATGCACTAAGCTGAATGATGAATTTGTATGTAGCCAGGAACATGAAACATAATTGACCGATTGTTACTTTGTATCAAATCATGGCTGATCACGCCTGTTGTGGCATGGTGTACAGTAGCAATACTGAATTGCTTTCCGTACACTGTGTTAGCCATTATGAAGAGATTGTAATTCAGGTAACACGAATATCCAAACTATTAAAAGGTAAAGTGTAGGTGACATGTAGTGTAGGTGTCATGTAGTGTGGTGTAGTGTAGCTTAGTGTAGGTGTCATGTAGTATAGTGTAGCTTAGTGTAGGTGTCATGTAGTGTAGTGTAGGTGTCATGTAGTGTAGTGTAGTGTAGTGTAGGTGTCATGTAGTGTAGTGTAGTGTAGTGTAGGTGTCATGTAGTTTAGTGTAGTGTAGCTTAGTGTAGGTGTCATCTAGTGAAGTGTAGGTATAGTGTAGTATAGGTGTCATGTATTGTAGTGTAGCTTAGTGTAGGTGTCATGTAGTGAATTGTAGGTATAGTGTAGTGTAGGTGTCATGTAGTGTAGTGTAGCGTAGTGTAGGTGTCATGTAGTGTAGTGTAGTGTAGGTGTCATGTAGTGTAGTGTAGTGTAGCTTAGTGTAGGTGTCATGTAGTTTAGTGTAGTGTAGCTTAGTGTAGGTGTCATTTAGTGTAGTGTAGGTATAGTGTAGTGTAGGTGTCATGTAGTGTAGTGTAGCGTAGCGTAGTGTAGGTGTCATGTAGTGTAGTGTAGCTTAGTGTAGGTGTCATGTAGTTTAGTGTAGTGTAGCTTAGTGTAGGTGTCATGTAGTGTAGTGTAGTGTAGTGTAGTGTAGTGTAGCTTAGTGTATGTGTGGTGTAGTGTAGGTATAGTGTAGTGTAGTAGAACAAAGCTTAATTCACGTACAATGTACAACCTTTATATCGAAGTGTATTCTGTCTTAATAATAAATATTGTTTTACATAACAAATAAAAGCATGTCATCCTAGTTTCTGAGAGTACCAGTACCTAATTTGAGTGCAGCATATGTTGACTTTAAGTAATTAAAAAAAATACTTACACCGTAGTTGAAATTAATTGTTGATGTCAAATATTTTACCTTTTACAGGTTGTCAACAATGCACCTGCGTATATATCATCCAAGTATCATAGTTTCCCTGTTCACAGGTGTTGAGTATGTATCTACCAAGAAGTTTGCGCATGGAACTGGTATATAGAAGGACACTGCACTGAATAAACTACTAAACAAAATGAATAATTCAGTATTTTAAATTTACCTAGCATGTTTGTTGGTTCTGCTTTAAATTAATCAAACCCACAGGAGGTCTTCATGATTGGTGATATATATCATCAACACAATCTACCTCATTTGAAAATTCCTAAAACACGCCCATTTGTTATTTTTACATTCCTCCACAAATTAGATTTGGTGCAAACATGTTTTATACTGATGGGAATCAGCAGTTGATTGTGTTAAGAGATATATATCAATGACATTAAAACCGATTTCTTCACGGTCTATAATACAAAAGTAGATTGATGTTGGAGTTCTATGATATCAAATAATCAGTTGATCTCTGACGTGAAATGTACTTGAATTAAACAAACTTTACAGTTATCATAATGATTACTAAATAATAAAATGAATACATTTTCATACTGAATTAGTTTCGAACACAAAGATGAACAATTTTATTGAATAGCAGCTGGCTGGCTTCACACATTGACAGGTGAAAATATTTCATCCCGTAAGTTATGACAAAGTGATAATTTTGATTTTGATTTCCTTGAGTAGTTCTGATTCAACTGGATTTCACATTGACAGCTTCAAAAAACTATTTCTAAGAAAATTTGGCTCGATACCATCGTGAGAAAAGTAATATTCCATCGTAACGGGTCAATCAAACTCATTCTACGTAAAATTTGTAAACAAAATTACCATAATACTACGTAAAATGGTATTCCGTCATTGAATCATAAACTTGGCCGACATGAAAAACATCCGTTTAGAGAGTCATCTAAGTACATAAAAGTAATTAATGATTAATTATAATTTCGTTTTGTCAATATTTACATGTGTGTCATGACTTTCTTGTACTTATTAGATGGAATAGCAACGTGTTTCATTCATTACTGTTTAGTTTATACATCAAGAAGGAACCTTTTATTTTGAAACCATGAGAAAATAATTCCCAACCTGATTTCTTTTATGTACCAATGACCTTCTTGTGAAAAAGGAGGAAAGGACGAGGATTCAATAACCTTAT